AGAGAGAGAGAGGGAGGAGGAAGCAGGCCCACTGCTGAGCAGAGAGCCTGATCTGGGGCTCGATCCCAGCACCCTGGGATCATGACCTGAGCCGAAGGCAGAGGCTTTAACCCACTGAGCCACCCAGGCGCCCCTTCTCTAGATATTCTTAAGCTCTGTTTTGGAATGCAGTTACCTGGAAATGGGTCATTTGGGGTCTTGTTTTTAAGATTTGTTAGGTGGGAGCAGAGCATTGTTCACTGTAGGGCTGACTAGTCTCTACATCTGAGACTGATACTCTTTAGTATTACCACCCCCACCCCACCCCCATCCTGTTAATCATGATGTTTGATTCTGGCTGGTGGGAACTGGTACTGTGTGTGGGCGCTGTTAACTTGAACCCTTTCGGATGATTCTTTCTCCAGCTTTGGGTGGTTTCCCCCATACATGTGCTGACTGTACTCAGCTGGATACTCAGAGGACCTTTGGGACCTCGCTGAAGCTCTCCATCCGTGCATCTCTCTCCTCTCTGGGACTCGGTCCAGGACTCCAGCAGTCACGTCTCCTGGGCTCTGGCTCCTTAACTCAAGGAGCCCACCTTGATTTCTCCTCCTCGTGACGCAGCCGGAATATTCTGAAGGCTGTAAGCTGGGCCAATAGTAGGCTTCACCTCACTTGTTCCCTTTCTTGCAGGGGTCACTGTTCTTTGTTGCATGATGTCTGGTGTCTTAAGAACCACTGTTTGACAGTTTCCGATGAAAGCGAGGCCCAAGATGGAAGCTAGTGCACTATACAAGACTCCTGCAAGGTGCTACAGAAACACGTCAGCAAGTTCATCCTCTAAACACGCAGTTCTAACTAGCAGCTTTCCTAGAGATGACCACTGACCTAACTGCAATTCCCTCCTCCCAAGCTAATGTGTAGCCAACCTAAAAAGTGATAAAAATTGACTTTATCAATAATGATACTCTTTGAGGACGGTATAAAAGTGATCTGTGTTCTGGATGAGGAAGATGAGCATATTGTTGGCTAGCGATTGTCAATGTCATGACAACACTCAGAAATGGTAGATTTATAACCCATTAAAGTTGAGATCTCTCCTGGGCAGTAACTGGGATCTTTTTTCCTATGAAGAATTCATGACTAAGGTAAACTGCTCTTTAGGGCTCTTGGTTGGACTATTTCAAGACTGACGCCCTGGTACCCTCAACTGACTGTATCTCCTTACGAACAGTCCACAAGGAGAGATCCTGTGCGGGTGAGACAAGGCAAGGAGGCTTTTACCAGCCTGCCAGTTGACGAGCCCTCAGCTCTGAGTGGACACACTCCAATAAACTTGGCCCTGAATGCCAACTAGTATCTCACCCCCATTACCGACACTTCTGCAGCGGATATCAAGCCTCCTAAAAGCCTCTGAAAGTCTTGAAATCCTTGAACTCCCGCCTTCCCCAAAACCCTGTATAAGACTCGCCTGACCAACAAAGCTCTTCCTTACCAGAGTGAGCATTAAACCCAGCTTTATCTTTTTATATCAGATGAGTGGGGGGCTCTTCAATCTCTGAGAGTCTTTTTTTTTTTTAAAGATTTTATTTATTCGTCAGAGAGAGAGAGAGTGCACACAAGCAGGCAGAGAGGCAGGCAGAGGCAGCGAGAGAGGCAGGCTCCCCGCCGAGCAAGGAGCCCGATGCGGGACTCGATCCCAGGACCCTGGGATCATGACCTGAGCCGAAGGCAGCGGCTTAACCCACTGAGCCACCCAGGCGTCCAGAGAGTCTTTTTTTTTTTTTTTTAAATTTTTTTTTTTTTAATTTATTTGTTTGACAGACAGATCACAAGTAGGCAGAGAGGCAGGCAGAGAGAGAGAAGAGGAAGCAGGCTCCCTGCAGGGAGCCTGATGTGGGGCTCGATCCCAGGACCCCGGGACCATGACCTGAGCCGAAGGCAGAGGCTTTAACCCACCGAGCTACCCAGGTGCCCCGGGAGAGTCTTATTTTTGATGTTCTCTGCAGTTTCACAGTTGCGCGCTTGACTTAGGTCCCGATGGCATCAGTACCTGCCATGGTTTGCGCACTGAGTACGCCACGCGCCACGGCGGCCCAGACTTACTGTGTGCCACCCGCCACTCCGTGTCTGAAATAAGAAAAATCTCAATTTATTGCTTGCTCTAGTAAGGAAGAGCTACATTGGTCAGGCATAGTTGCCTGGAGCAGAGCAGACTGCCGTACACAATAGTTTGCTTTGCCAGTGTCCAAGGAAGCTGTACACACAATGTCTGTCGTAAGAATAGACATGGGGTGCCTGGCTGGCTCAGTTGGTGGTGTGTGTGTGACTCGAACTCAGGGTGATGAGTCCAAGTCCCACACTGGGCCTAGAACTTATTTAATAGAATACAGACTAGAGATATCTTATTAAAGATGTGCTGGTAATTATCTAGCTTAAAAGGGTATACGTTTGTATGACTGGAAAAGTTTTTACCATTTTCTTTTTTTTTTTTTTTTAAAGATTTTATTTATTTATTTGACAGAGAGAGATCACAAGCAGGCAGAGAGGCAGGCAGAGAGAGAGGAGGAAGCAGGCTCCCTGCTGAGCAGAGAGCCCGATGCGGGGCTCGATGCGGGGCTCGATCCCAGGACCCTGAGATCATGACCTGAGCGGAAGGCAGCAGCTTAACCCACTGAGCCATCCAGGCGCCCCAGTTTTTACCATTTTCCAAGTGATTCTAGTTTCAGGGATTATCTGCTGGATGTTAGGATATTTTGCTTCAAAGAAATGTCCTAGTCTGTCATTTGGTTGCCATTATCATCTAGTACCTCACTGAGTGCTTTTTGATAGAATGTACTTAGAAAAATAGCCAAGTATCGCGCAACAGCATCTCTTATCATACAACAAATTAATAGAAATTTATTGGGTGGAAAATGGGGGAAAAGGACAAATAAGATGGGGTGGTTCTATACTGATATCAGCAAGTTCATAATATGAGAAACTCAAGTCCAAAATCTTCAGCCCACATCAAAGACTTCATGTTCTGATGACTGCGGGAAAGGCCAGCCCGGGACGCTGGGCTCAGGAAATCATGGCGGTGTAGCTCTAGATGAAGCAGCGCCTCTGTCAAGGACATCACTTTCTCTCAAGTTCAGAATGACACTTCTTGGGCACAAGTTTAAGATTCTGTTTATTCTCCCATCGGTGTAGAGCAGACTGGCCGGATGCAACATCATGCTTGTTACCGTGGTCCTGTTGGAAGGAAAACAGACCTAACACCGTTCCCAACTACCTGCAGAGCTGAGGACCCATTCTGTCTCCACGAATATAATCTACTCATCAAGCTGAGTGGTTCTAATCTAGACAGTTTGGGAGATGCGTGACTTTTAAGGAAGAAATTTAGTTTGTTTTTCTTGCAGTTTAGAGAAACCTAAAGATTAGTGGGAAGAGTAGCGGGATGAAGAGAGTAGTTCTGCGGTGAGAAATCTGAGAAGGGACAAATCCAGAATTGCTGAGGACAGCCATGTCTAAGCACCCTACCTCTTCCAGCCACCTGTCTTCTCGGGGAAGCCTCTGCAACCGGTTTTTTGTCAGCTCAAGTTGGAGGCCATCAAACCTACACTTAAACCAGCGATGGGCTTCTTCCAGGTTAGCTGTTATCTGAACAGAAAAGTCTTATCAGTAAAAATCACAACGAAGAAAGCTCTAAATTTTCTGTGTATTAGTTCCAGAGACTTTTTTTTACCCAGACATTAAAGGACCCAGATTCCGAGTGCAAGCTCCTTGCACACCTCCAGACGGGAGTGACTTCTGAAGGCAGAGCTGAACGCGCGCAAGCCTGCTGCTTCCCTGCATTTATTGATACTTCCTGGATGTGAATGAAAGGAAGAGGACCCAGGAGGAAAATAAGAACGAGAAGAACAAGACGGCTCTGCCAAGGAATATGGTAGTTCAAACCACAGTTTGAATTTTTGAGATCTGTTCTCTAAGATTAAATCATTCTCCAAAGTCCCTATATTAGATCTTTCTTTTGAGCTTTATGAAAGTAATTGAATTAGTAAAAGAGTGGACTAGCTTAGTGTAAATTGCGTTCTTTTTATTTCCTTTATCATCAAAATATTTTATGCTTTGGCTCCTAAGCACAAACTTCCAAACTACCTTTGTTAGACTTAAATGGTCCTTCTAGTAGTCTGCCTTTGCAGATGATCTGAAATCAATATTCGTTTATTTGACAGATATTTACTGAGTACCTGTATGTGCCTGGCACTTCTGTATGTATCTGGGTTACTTCAGTATTTTAAGGTAAAGCTGACAGGCTTTTAGGTTATATAAAAGTTGCTTCAAAAGAGCTCCAGAGCATATCCTCTAGAATAAAAAGTAAAATGACTGATTTTGAACTCAGAAAGAGAGAGGTGTATTTCTCTCTTGCCTGGGAGAAGGCAAGTCCTTGAAAGCAGGGGTGTCCTTGGGCTCAGTTCATCCTGTGTCCCCTCAACTAGTCCAGTGCCCAGCATAGGACAGGTCCACAGTAAATGTGTGGGACTAGGTATTTGTCCCAGGTTAGCCAGGTCCTTGTGTGGGTACAAAATAATGAGGTAAGAAAATAGAGCTCCCCTTGGCATTTAAGCTTTAGAAAGCTACAAAGCTCAAGTACTTTGTATATCTGCCTAATGCCAGCGATACTCTCACCACCCCCTCAAACCCAACCCCACATTTCTCTAGCACTCTTTTTTTTTTGTTTGTTAAAGAATTTATTTATTTGACACAGAGAGATCACAAGTAGGCAGAGAGGGAGAGAGAGAGAGAGGGAGGAGGAAGCAGGCTCCCTGCCTAGCAGAGAGCCCGATGCAGGACTCCATCCCAGGACCCTGAGATCATGACCTGAGCCAAAGGCAGAGGCTTAACCCACCAAGCCACCCAGGCAGCCCCTCTCTAGCACTCTTTGCCAGGGATGGAGGGAAAGATGCTAGAAATGGCCCCGTACATCATGTCACCTTTTGCACCATGAATGAGAAGGGAGGTACTATTTAGTGAAACTTACTGAGTCATCTACAGCATAACAGATTAGTAAATCTTACTATCCTGACTTTTCGAGATGTGGTAATTGATGAGTTAAAGTAAATGTAACTTCCTCAAGGGCACAGCAAGGGTCACAGCTGACGTTCAAACTCATGAGTCCATATTCCTTTTGATATACCACTCTGATAGTCCTATTGTCTTGTTGAATGGCTATGAAAAGGACAAATCATGACCAACTAATGATTTCATCACTGTGATACCTCTGTTTTCTTAACTGGATATTAGGACTGTTGTGTCACACAACGGATTTCATAGGTCCTTCCACCTCTAAAAAATGTATGATTTTAAATACCTTCAAAAAGGTCAATTTAAGATTAGAGAAAGCAAATTCGCAAATTCAAAGGGCCCACGAGCGGTACCTGGCCGCATCAGTCGGAAGAGGAAGCCTCTCTTAATCTCAGGGTTGTGAGTCTGAGCCCCATGTTGGGTGGAGAGATTAAAGTAAAACTTAAAAAAAAAAATAGGGCCTACTTTACATTTCTAGTTATTGACTGAACAAAGAGCTTGCCTTTTTATCAGTGGTGCCAAGCAGTAGTGCATTAAAATCTACCCACACGCCGGTCCTCCTCCTTACATTTAGGGCTAGAGACTTGGGCTTGGCTTAGTCAGTACTTCAGTGTTCTTTTATCAGGAGGCAGAATCCCAATCTGAAAAGTATTCTTCATAGTAGACATTAGACTTAGTTACTGGTTCTTGCCTGTTACACTCCTGGAACTATGTCCGTGAAGGATTTTACCTTGACTGGGTGTGGCTTACCTGTTCTGATTCTACACTGGCTTCTTTCAGTTTATGCTCTGTTGCCTCTTTACATTTCCTTAGGTGTCTGATCGTTTCTTCCAATTCCTGAAAATGTGACACGAAGATTCTTACAAATTCCCAATATACCACATGGAACAAAAAGCTTCCATATTGTAATAAATGGGCAACCAAATTATGAAAACGTGATGGGGTTATACTTTGTAACATCAGGTGCTACCAAATGTAAGATACACGCCGTTACCGTCAGCAGTACACCTAATGCATATCCGATTTTGATTTTATGTATCCTCCCAAAGAGGAAGCAATTAATATCTCCTTCCAGAACCGAAGGAATGCTTTTTCACAGCAGACAGTGTCTGCTAGAAGGCAAGAGCCTGACGGTCTCTTGGAGTCCCTACTCCGTGACAGAACGTGGCGCTTGTCCGGAGCCTGGGTACAGCTGCAAGTCCCATCACAGCAGCGGGTGATCTGAGCTTCTGGGAAGAACCAAGGGGTAGAAAGTTCCTAAAAGACTATGAAATTCAGTTCGGAAGTCTTAGGAACCAGTATTTTGCACAGCGAGCTTCAGCTGTTAAGAATGAATCCTTCATAAACTGAAAACTGGGAACATGTGGCACACTCAGAACTACAGGCTTCTTCCTCTCGCAAGTTTACGTTTCTTCTATAGAATCTAGAAAACCGAGGTGCTCTGCTGCTGGGCTTCAGGGCATGCCATGTGCTGCTCGTCGCTGAGAGGACCCCGAGGAAGCCTCTCACCTGGCACCGGCCCTCCAGGCCCTGCCTTATCTTCCTCTCCGCCTCGAGGCGCAGCTCCTGCTGCTTGTTCCTCGCCGAGGTCTCATACTGGCTCTTGGCCAAGAGCTGCATCTCCTTCTGTAGGTTGGTCATTTCAGACACGAACTTCTGGATGCTCAGCGACTGGTGGGGCACAGAGAGGGAAGCAGCTGGTGAATGGGTCTGAGTCTGAGATTTTATGTGAATGGTAAAAACATGGGAGATCGTGAAAATCTACCTGTTCATAATTTTTTTTCTGATATTGATCCTTAATTAGCTCCATTTGCCTCAATTCTGTTTCTATTTGCTGAAAGTAAATGTGGAAATAACATAAAAAGGTGATCAGTAGAAAAACTGGCTTGCTCTTTTCCTATGGGGTGACAGAAAGAATCCCACGTGAGACCCACAGTTACTGGCTCCCGCTGGGCCCTCCTTCCCGTCTGGCCCACTGACCCTAAAACAGCAAAGTCCTGTGCAGTCCCTGGGGAGGGGGCAGATGGGGAGTCAGAAAGGGACTTGGCAGCTAAACAGAAACCACACATTTACACAGCAGTAGCTCTGCTGGAAAGAGAGTGACCGCCCCCCTCCAGGCGTCTGCCCACGCCCCAGGTGCAGCTGTCATCCCCAGAGAACACGGGTGCTGTCAGGACTCTGGGACCGCCTTCACCGGACCCCACCACCTGCCTGGATCCTCTCGGATACTAAGGAAGTGAGGGGAGAAGGAGCGCGCCTCATACAACCTTCATCCTCTCTACATTCTGAGTATTATTCGCCTTAGTCGACAAGTGGAGCTTAATTTGGGCCTTTTGATTCTTTATTTTCTCCTTGCTACTGTTCACGACCTTCTCAAGCTCTGTCAGTTTCTGCCGCAGCTCTCGGTTGGTCCGGGTTACCTCCACGGATCTGAAGTTGGCTTCATCGAGGGCCTTCTTCAGCTGTCGAACGCAAAGGGAAAAGTCCATCATTTTAAGCTTCCATTCCCGAAGAGAAGCTGATGATTAGGCCCGTCTCTGTTTAGTTCCCTTTGGACCTTTCTTTTTTTTTTTTTTTTTTTTTTTTTTTTAAGATTTTTATTTATTTATTTGTCAGACAGAGAGAGAGGGAGAGAGAGCAAGCACAGGCAGACAGAATGGCAGGCAGAGGCAGAGGGAGAAGCAGGCTCCCCGATGAGCAAGGAGCGCGATGTAGGACTCGATCCCAGGACGCTGGGATCATGACCCGAGCCGAAGGCAGCTGCTTAACCAACTGAGCGACCCAGGCGTCCCTGGACCTTTCTTTCAAAGAAAAGGGTAAGCGAGGCAATGATGATGATGTCTGCTGAGGAACGGTGGCGCAAAACTCTAAGTGGTTTTCATCTTTTTTTTCATAATTTTTAACATTAAACACAATCTTTCCTAGAACAGATATAGACAATGTAAATACATGTTCATCATTTGCTTTTAAAGAGCATGACTTTGGAGTCCAATCTAAGTTCACATCTCAGATGTAGCACTTATTCGCCGAGTAATTTTGGATAGTTAACGTCCCTGACCCTCGGGGTCATCAATGGCAAAGCACACAAATGACTTATCTCTGGGGACTCTGAGTTGAACAAGATAAGGTGGAGAAAGAAGGGGAGCCGCACACTTGCTCGGCTTTCAGCTTTTCTCTTCCCTGCTGCTTGTGACCTCGTGTCTGGAGAACTGAAAATTAGAAGGTAATTTATATAAATACTTGCCCGTTACTACCACTGCATGGATTTTTATAATACTGCTTTCAGTTTTAAAGATTTTAATAAGCTTGTCTAGTGGAAAATGGCATAGAGATTACTGTTAAATACAAGACAACAGCCCTCAAATGGAGTCCCTTACGCTAAGCCCCACGTCACCAAACCAAGACTGAGTGAGTTTTGGCTTTCCTAGAAATGAACCCTTAAATGAGTCCTTCAGGACTTGCCTGAAGAGCGCTAGCTGGGTGGTCTGCCTGATGCCACCGTCCTCTAAAGCAAAGAAACTTTGCGAAAAGCAACTTGAGTTCCTAGGTCGTACAACTTGTTCCTGCTCCTTCTGCCCAAAGAGCCTTCATTTTGTACTGTTCCTTGAAGATCTCTGCTAGAGCGGATAATGCCCAACTTGAATCAGTTTTTGTTCAAATAAACTTTTAAAAGATAAACTAACACATGTTAAATATTTAACAGTTCTGGTGTCAGAAGAAAAAAAGGAAGGAGAGCAACGGTCCGCAGGAGCCACAAGCAAGCAATTGTAGGTACCCATGGCGCCCCCTGCTTCCTTGATGCTTCTGGACGTCACACTAAGTCCCTCCTAGAGCCTCCCCAGCAGCTTCCGTGTTAGCAGCTGTCAGACTTTGAGCCTTTCTTTTTCCGGACTGGGTCCAGAAACTGACTAGAGTTGTACTGTTTCTGATCTAAAATCAAACTGAGTCCAGAGTTGGAGCGGGTCCAGTGTGAGGCCTCAGGTGAGTACAACTTTAAGGCTGGACGGAAAGAGAATTTTGAATTACAGTAGCTACCAGGGAGAACTTTCAACCTAAGTAAGTTTTTCCATGTGTAAAGTACTCCAGAGGATCAAGGCCAAGCACTTATAAAAGGCAGAAGGAAAATTATTATTTTTCACCCTCTGTGGTGACTAGAGTGAGACCTACAAGACATGCCGACTTGCTCAGAGCCTACAGCTAGGATCTGGAAAACTAGCAGAAGCTAGCAAAAGGTGACAATTTCCACAAAAGTCAGCTCTCTCAGATGTCTATCGATGGTGCATGGTTGAGAGAGGAAGGTAAAATTTTACGTCTGTCCCTATCAGATTCAGACTGATAAGGAAAAGATAGGTTTAAGGTAATTCTTTGAACTGTAACTGTAACAGTAGAGAGAAATCTTTGATAGTGTCTTGTGAATCTGCTTCCAGGTACTCATTGGTTGTTGATCCTTCCTCTGCTAGGGACAGCTATTGCCTTCTTATTGATCTGGTTTTGTGTCCTGAGAAGTTGACTAGGCAACCATCAGGTCAGAGGCTCTAACATGTGGTTGGCCAGGAACCTACTGACTGGTGCCGGCTGGGACATTTCTCTTGGTTATCTTTGGGAGTGGTTCTGGAACTTGGGTGAGGATTATCTTTTGTGCCCTTCTCAGGGGACCTCTCTTACATCCATGGGGTAGTTCAATACTGCTAGGAGTATTTACTGTTTGTCCTGGCTCAAAGCTGGCAAGATATCTGAAAGGATTTAAAGTAGCTCTATCGGGGTGCCTGCATGGCTCAGTCAGTTGGGTGTCTGCCTTTGGCTCAGGTCATGATCCCAGGGTCCTGGGATCGAGCCCCACACTGGGCTCCCTGCTCAGTGGGGAGTCTGCTTCTCCCTCTCCTTCTGTGCTTTCTCTCTCTCTCTCTCCCCCAAATAAATAAAATCTTAAAAAAAAAAAAAAAGTAGCTCTATTGTCAGAAGATGAGCAAATTCAGAGTCTGACAGACTTAACAGTTCCTTTCTTCCCTCTGCCACGATGGCAGTATTTTCAGTCAACAGCAGTTCACCTGGTCAGTGCCGATACTCTGGGTCTGAGGGAAGCTGGGGGGACAAAGTCCGCCACTCAGCTAAAATGAAACTACATACCTAGAGAGAGAAAGAGAAACATTCTAAAGTCTCTATGGAAGGATTTACTAAAATATTCCAAAGACACACAGCTCTCTCTAAATCTGGAACATAGGGATCTTTTAATTTCCATCTTAGTGGAAGATCTCCCTGATACAAAGAAGCAAATCAAAGATTATGTAGTTGGCTGGGTGGGTCAGTCTGTATAGCATTAAAGGTTGTGACCCAATTACCTGAGAAATTAAAAACTACTTGTCTTGTAAATCAAGTATACAAGAACAGAAATTCAGCTCTAGAACAATTCAAAGCCCACCTACCCTTTTTACCAATCCCCCAAACCCCTAATCCATCTAAGGCTTGCAGATATTGTAAAAGATCTGGATTTAGGGAACAAAATCCTCCTTGGTACAATGTATATTCTTTTTCTGTGACTTTTGAGATGTATGAATTCTACTTGGTGTTCTCCAGGAATGAAGACAATTCTTAGGAGGAAAAGAAAAAAAAGGAAAGAAAGGATATTTTGAAAAGTAGACCCATGAAAAATCTTAAAAGTCTCCTCCACCAATAGTCATTAAAAGCTTTAGCCCGAACAGGTAATCTTAACTTTATTCCATTTGCCAAAATCACAGTTTGGATCCACCTGTTCTTTCATAGCGCATTTTGCATTATTTGCCTGTCTTAGAACTAAAGTTGTAAAATGGAGCTTGTTAGACCTGTTTGTGTCTGTATGTTTATGTCTTTGTACGCATGTCTAGAGACTTTTTTTCCTACCTTTGAAAGGTATTGCCAAAATGAATTTGTAAAGAGCTCTATTTAATTGGTTTAAAGACAAACAAGTATTTATACATATCAAGTTCACAAGATCTAGGATAATCATCCACAAATAGAACAACAAACAAGCTATGTTTTACTTAAAATAACCATGTCTTCAGAATTATCAACATAAGTTGTAATGCTTATTTTACCGGGTTTATTAAAAGTCAGATAAGCTCATCTATCTCTGTGATAGAATTTGTCAGCAAGAAAGATCATGGTTAGCTGTTTAATGTCTCATGAAATTTTCATGAGTAATCTAAACATAATTGTTAGAGATGTAGGATAAAATTTTCCGAGTTTTGGGTAAAATTACCAAATTTTTTGTTAATGAGAAACCTTGAAATTACCCGAAAATAAATTAAATGATGGACACATTGAATATCTAGATCATTTCCAAATAAAATACCAAAACATTAATTACTAAACATAGGTCTACCAATTTCAGCTTCCTTTTACAGAGAAACTAAAGATATTTGGATTAATAAACATGTTTTGTGCTAAATTAGAAAGTTTACTAGGAGAAAGAATATACTTCTAGAAATTAAGAAATGTATTCATAAACTTGCCAGCCCACAGAATGTTAGTGTAACACACTCTACAATTGGTTATTTCTTAGTTTTCCCTAGGAATAAGGATTCTAAGGGTTAGAGATTTTAATCAATATGTGAAATTAAAATTACTTCGAAGTAATAAGAGTGAAAGGAAACTGTATGAAAAGTAGTAAGTTTAAATTAAAAAAAATTTTTTTTTAAATTTATTTGACAGAGAGAGATCACAAGTAGGCAGAGAGGCAGGCAGAGAGAGAGGGGGAAGCAGGCTCCCCGCTGATCAGAGAGCCTGATGTGGGGCTCGATCCCAGGACCCTGGGATCATGACCTGAGCCGAAAGCAGAGGCTTTAACCGACTGAGCCACCCAGGCGCCCTGAAAAGTAATAAGTTTAAAGTAAAATGTCTGCTCCAGATGGAGAAAAAGGAAAAGACATAGAACAAAGTCTTAATGGGTAAAAGAAAGAGTGGTTTGTGGAAAAGGAGTCTTGAGAAAGGAATTTTGTGTGTGGTTAAGGTGGCTAAGTTAATTCAAGTTTTTAAAGAATGAATTTAGTACAAAATTAGAATTTGGTTTTCTCTTCATTAAATGGACTGAGCTTTCTTGGACTATTGGTCTGTTCTTGATAAGAGGCTGTGAAAGGTTTTTTTTTTTTTGGTTTTTTTTTTTTAACCTTTTAGGTAATCTCCCTGAAAAACAAGGATTTTACTTAACAAAATAACTTACTGTGGTTGACACTGTCTTTTATTAGGTTTTTGATTACTTAACATTGAGAAGATTGGGTTTTCTTAAGAGCTAACTTTTGTTCACAACTATATAACTTTCTGTATTTGCCTTTAAAACTTCTACTGTCACTTTTTTTTTTAAAGATTTTATTTATTTATTTGACAGAGAGAGATCACAAGTAGACGGAGAGGCAGGCAGAGGGAGAGGGGGAAGCAAGCTCCCCTCTGAGCAGAGAGCCCGATGCGGGGCTCGATCCCAGGACCCTGGGATCATGACCTGAGCCGAAGGCAGAGGCTTTAACCCACTGAGCCACCCAGGCGCCCCTCTACTGTCACTTTGTTTAAAAAATATTTCATAATAATTTGTGATCTTAGTCAGATGTTCAAATGCTTTGACAACATTCCCAAATCAAATTCTAAATGGAGCCTTTTTGATCTCAAAGTATCTCTGATCCCAGAGAATCCCTGAAAAATCTCAAAGGATTTTTGTCTCACCATGTAAAAGAGACGTGTTAAAATTGATGAGGTGTCTCTGGCGCGCTCAGTTACGGGGGCGCCGCCGAATCAGTGATGGCAAACCTCGTGCTCGTACAATGTGTGTTATGAACAGGTGTTCTAGTAACTGTAGGAAATTCCTAAAAATCTGCTATGTCCTTTAATCCCAGTTATTATCTTAAATTGCTGTATATCACAGATATAACCCAATATCCTTGTCAATTCTATTATCATGAACTCTCATCAGATCTTTAAACATGAGCATACTAAAGTCTTATCATTTATCGACAGCTGGTGCTCTTGGATACTTGTGCAAAAGGGAGATTCCTGGGAAGGACCCTACCAAGTACTCTCGAGCACTGACATTCCCGCCAAATTAGAAGATTCAGATTTCACAACTGAAAAGACTCCATCTGATGTCTGGTCCTGTGTAATTATGTGGTGCGGAGGCCTCAAAATCAAATTAGCTAAGAAGAGAAGTAGCTGACTTTGGGGTAGACTGCTTCCGCCTAAGATGTCAGATCAAGAATGTTTCTTTCCATTCTTTCTTCTCTCTCTGACCATCCTTTTCCTAATTCTTACACCATGATGGTCTTTAGGATTCATTTGCCTACCTTTTGCCTTGCTCTGGCCTGCAAAAATGATGCCATTGCATAAGGTGTAATCTAGCCTTCGAACACCTGGTGGATTCGCCATGCCGCTGGTCATCCCGTAGTTCTGCCCGTCACACACTTCTGATTTCTGATGCTTCAGTTCCTCTGGGCCCAACTCTGTGCCCCTCTCCATTGTTTCATATTCCGTATACCCCACAGTCAATTTCTCTGCTTCAGGTTAAAAACTCCAAGCCCGGGGCGCCTGGGTGGCTCAGTGGTTTAAATCCTCTGCCTTCGGCTCAGGTCATGATCTCAGGGTCCTGGGATTGAGCCCCACATCGGGCTCTCTGCTCAGCGGGGAGCCTGCTTCCTCCTCTCTCTCTGCCTACCTCTCTACCTACTTGTGATCTCTGTCAAATAAATAAATAAAATCTTAAAAAAAAAAAAAAAAAAAAAAAACTCCAAGCCTAGGAAATCTTGCATCCAGGTTCTGGACAAAGAAAGTGACACAGGCAAGGGGAAAGAATAAAATCGGTGTGGTCTACAAACTTAAATTTTACTGACCTCCACTGCTGTCACCTTTCCAGTTCTGAGCTACAGACTGAAAACTGGACTTACCAGGAGGCATTCGTGATTCAAAATTAGCTTCCTGGGGTGCCTGGGTGGCTCAGTGGATTAAGCCACTGCCTTCAGCTCAGGTCATGATCTCAGGGTCCTGGGATCGAGCCCCGCATTGGGCGCTCTGCTAAGCAGGGAGCTTGCTTCTCCCTCGCTCTCTGCCTGCCCCTCTGCCTACTTGTGATCTCTCTCTCTGTCAAATAAATAAATAAAATCTTAAAAAAAATTAGCTTCCTTTGGTAGATCTCTAGTGCCTGGGCTGCCGTCGGAAACCTCTCCATAATTCTTAAAGGTACTACAGAATCTGCTAAAAGCTGCCCAACAAAACCCTTGACTCTGCCTGAACTTGTTCTGGGTAATCGGATATTCTCGGTTGTCTTTTAGCTGCGTGAGGAGGTATTTGTGCTGGGGCCGGTACCCCTGCGGCACTTAGACTGACGCTTCTGGGCAAGCTGAGGCTCCGCTACCTGAGATCGCTGAATGAGCTAGCCGGCCGGAGAGAGTGACTCCTTCAGCAGAGTCCTTCCCTTGCTTGACTCTGTCTGGGTCTTGGGGACCAAGGCACATTGGGAATTACCTGCTTATAAGGATCACAGCAGTCTCCCCCAAGTGTGCTGTGTTCTCTTAAAACCTTGAAATGCACGTTCCTCGTTGCTAACCACAAAGCAGATGATCTAAGACAGCTGGGTAATCTGCCTGATAAGACCCCTGCCATTGCCCAAAGGAGAGTACGTTGTTCTAATCAACCTGCTGTTCAGCCTAATATATCTTATTCCCGCCCTTGGCTGCCTCTGAAATTCTTTCATCTCATACGGCTCCTGGAGCTCTGCGAGATTGGGTACTACCGTGATTGGAACTGAGTTTTGCTCAGTTAAACTCTTAAAGTGTTTAATATGCCTCAGTTTATCTTTTAATGTGACTTAAATCATTTTATAGAACTCCTTTCCTCTTCCAGTGCCCTTAAAGCAGTGCCGCTGGGTTTTCAGGAAGAGGTGGCAGCAGAGAAGGGAGAAGGTGGTACTCAGGACAGCTGGCGGTGTCTGACATGCTAAGGTTATTTGTAGCTTTTCTTTCTACACTACCTCTTTCCTTCAGAGCCTGTCTCCGTGCCCCAGTGCCGGCCTTTTTATTTACATTCTACTATTACCTCAGTCATAACTTTGCCAAAACTGGGTAAGCCCTAACAATGATCACTTACTTCGTACTTACTATGTTTGGGCTTGAAAATTACATATATTTTCCAACTTAAAAAAAAAAAAACAACCAAAAACAAAACCCTGGAAAGTAGTTTATGACTGAGGAAAGAGAGACTCTGAAACTGTCCACAGTTAATGAACGCGCTGTTAATAAGAGGCAGCGCCGGGACTCCTGAGTGGTGCGCACCAAGCCTGCCCTGCCGCAGCGGCCCCGGCGTCACGCGCTCACCCTTCCCTTGGTTTCCTCACTACTGCGGTCTGCAGTGGTCCTTGTTAAAGGGTTTAAATCTTGTAAGTATTCTGACAACTATGTCTGATTAAAAGTGCCTTTAATTTCAGTGTACCTTTTTTTTTCCCTTTATAACGTTTTAATGTTTAGTGTTTTGTAATATACAAATTTTCTAAAAGATCTCTGTAAATTGCAGTTGCTAAATACACCAAATTTGGCAAAATATAAACCTGTAGACCAGCCACTCCAAGCAAGTCTGGGAGTTATTTTAATTCCTCCCTCCCTTTTGTTCATGATAGAACATTTAGTGTCTGATGATGATTTTTCTTTTCTTTTTTTTTTTTTAAAGAAAAAAATATTTACTTATTTATTTATTCGTCAGAGAGAGAGAGAGAGAGAGTACCCACAAGCAGGCAAAGTGGCAGGCAGAGGTGGAGAGAGAAGCAGGCTCCCTGCCGAGCAAGCAGCCTGATGTGGGACTTGATCCCAGGACCCTGGGATCATGACCTGAGCCGAAGGCAGCGGCTTAACCCACTGAGCCATCCAGGTGTCCCTGTTTGAGGATTTTTCTATTAAAATACCTTTTTGATTTAATTGTTCTCTATTTTGAACTGAACCATGTTGCTTGGCGCTAATCTTCGAAAGCCCGAAGTAACTGTTGTAGTTTTCTGGGATCTACATGCCTCCGGTTTCAACTCTTCATTCTTGCCTACTCTCCACTACCACCAGACTCCCCTTCCTAAAATCATCCTTACATCATACTGCCCATTTCTTAGAAAGCCACCGAACTCCATTTTGACCTGCAAGGTCACCTCTAACATTCTGACAGTCAAAATCAGCTACCAGATGGTACCACCTCAGCTACCCACGCTTTCTCAGACATTTCCCAAAGTCTTGGCTCTGATCAGGAGAAAAAAAATCTTACTCATTTGCCCACATGTCCTGTTCATTTTTGTAAATAAGCTTTGGTCATCCCCTTACACTGGGTGTCCTGGCCCTGTCAGCTCTGCCCATTGTGTACTTCTGTTTCCCTTCTTCTATCACCCAACCCTTACTTTGAGTTCCTTCAGAGTTGTACATGGCCGCTAGTTACTCAAGAAATGTCCCCTGCTGTTTACCCTATTTATCTCCTGTAAAGAGTGGAGATCACAATTAAGTAAGGGTCACATAGCGCACATCAGAGGACGGACCATTCGTGACTCTAGGAAAAGGTGAATGAGTGACAGGTGCTAGTCAAACGAGTTGAGGGGACAGATGATTTGATGTCTACCCAACGGCCAGCCACTTCCTTCCTCTGTCCCTCAGTTACAAAGCTCTCATTGAGACACTCCTTTGCTGGGCAGAGAACCATCTATCAGAAGCTTCTTGTGTTTTGATTTATGAAGAGCACAGAGACAGCTTGATCATGGTGGGACTAGAAGGACAAGAGCAACTGCAACCCTGCTTAGAACTCCTGTAACTGGTTCTGCTCTTGGCAGGCACTCATCTAGAGCGACACTTGTCACCTGACTACATACCTCAGTCATTTCCCGTTGTGCTGCTTTCTTGGCCGTTTCTCTCTCAGTTTGAAACTGCTTTCTTAGAGCTTCTATGCGTTCAGCGTGCATTTCTGCTTCCATTTTGGATTCCTCAGTCATTCGTTCTCTGTTTTGGGGGGGAAAAGTCACCCTTAGAAATCGTCTTTAGGAGGTAAGGAAGGCCTGGAGGGGAACGTGCAACTATCCAAAAGGTGTGATTTACACACAAGATGCAGATCAAGCACCAGGTGAACCACACTGGTCTGGAGCCCATTAACGGCACGGGAAGAACACATTTTCCTGTAGCATTAAAGGCCAAAGAGTCATTCAGTATAAAGACACCCAGCTCAAAGAGTGAAACACATACTCTTGTTTTAACCAATAAACAAGCCAGCAACATTCTCTGGCTCATTTCTTGAGCCAATAACATTTCCCTAGATTCTAGAATTTGCACAGATCATAAATTAGAAAACATACTTTCTCAGCTTTAATTGATGCCTTTTGTCTATCGGTAGGTTCACTAGCTGAACTGCATATAGATCTATGTGCAGACTGCACTTCCCCTGGCTGAAGATTTCCATGGAATGTCACTTCTATCCCATCCCTATTTACCTAGGTGCACTTTACAAAAACAAAACAAAACAAGACAAAACAAAACAAAACAAAATGAGGGCCTTCACCTGAACTTGATGGATTTGACCTAACTAATTTCAGGCCCAAAGGAAAACAATGGTTCAGGGTTTGTCTGGGTGAACTCATCCCACTCCTAGAAGGGGTTATTCCCATCCAGGCTGTTGCTATTCCTTCCCCAGATCATGCTTCGTAAGGACACATCAGCTTTTGATAGGAAAGGGTTGGCAGCAACGTGAAGTTTTGGTTTAGCCTTCACATGCTGAAGAGGCTTGACATGAGGTGAGGGGAGAGCGGACAAGGAGATCCGAACAAGCATCCCCCAGCCAGCTAGCGTGGGGTGCTCGGGTAGGCCTAGTTCCCTATCACAGCTCTGCTGGGAGCACCAGTTCCAAGCGAAGAACTGGTTTATGTGAATGGGCCCGCCTTATTCTCCCAGAGGCTCTTCCCTAATTTCACTATGACTATCCTGCCCTTACTTGAAGGTTTCCAGATTTTGTCGCTCAAGTTCATTGTTTTCCAATTTCTCTTGAACGTGATCGAGCTTTGTTTGTAGATGATTATTTGTCTGGAGTGATTGTTCCAGGCTCAAAGCCAGTTTCCTGTTGTCTTCTCTAGCTACATCTAGAGCTTTCTGTAGAGGCTCCATCTGAAAGAGGGAAGGCTCTTTTCAATTCCACTATCACAGATGCAAGAAGTCTGTATATTCATTCCTTACACTTTATCATCAGGGGCCATTGAAACGATAATTATGGAACCAGAACCAAAGATTCCAGCTGCCTGCAATATACACGTGAGAACTTACTGCTGACCGTGCTTAGGAGATTCTCAGAAGGCGATGGGGAGAGTCTGCTTCCTGATTACCAGTGAGCTCTGAAAAATTGAGCCGACTTAATTTTTAATTTTAAACTGGTTAAATTTCCCTTTCTGATCCTATAACCTTGTGGTGTCATTGCCTAGCGAGAGAAGAACAATTCCCTGTATGTCCTTCCAGAAAAAGCTTATTTATATGAAAGACCCCTTTTTAATATATGCACATATATGTAGAGATATATTCATGAGTGCATACACCTGTGAACACACACATGTAAATGTGTCTCCTTATTCACAGCGGGATCATTTCAATGACTTCTGACTGAAGTTTCAAGTTATTCTCTGACACTTTAACTTCTGCAGTCATTTATGCATTAATAAATAAAAAGTAAACCATATAAGTAAGAGAATTACGCATCACTGTGGTCCTGGTTTGCCAATAAATGAACCAATGAAAGGCTGCATGCCCACTTCCCATTTGTAACCCAAACTCAGACTTGGATGAAAAAGGAAATCTCCCTGATTATTTTACTCCATTTTCCTAAAAAGAGCAATAGCCCAATAAAACAAAATTATCACCATTATCATCTATTAAAAAAGTGGCCTTTACCTCGCTGTTGTGCTGGGCATCTACAACCAGCATCCTGGCTTGCCACTGGTCCACTTCCGCCTCCAGCTTCTGCACCCTCTGTTGATTTAGAGCCCTAAGGATGGACAGCACAGGGAGAGTGACTGCAGAAAAGAACCGTCTAGGAATGGAATGTTCTAGATGCCACTGGGGGTTACAGGGCACTCTTCCAAGAAGCTCAAATAGCATACGTAGTAAAGTAGAGGTGCTCAGAGTATCTGAGACTTGGCAAGTAACAATTAGCAGCTTGAGCTTCAGGTTAAGAAATTAAGCTCCTACACATGAAAAATTTGTCCCAGCTATGAGTCAATTTGACTTGATACATTAAACTGTCAATACTTATTAATGACTAACTTATGAGCTGGTAATTTTAACATATATACATATCACTAGTACAAAATATACCCTCTCTAGATGGATGGGCCTGCTGTTGACACTTTGCTCCTAAATACAACTCCTGGGACACCTACCTGGGTGGCTCAGTGGGTTAAAGCCTCTGCCTTTGGCTCAGGTCATGATCCCAGGGTCCTGGGATCGAGCCCCGCATCGGGCTCCCTGCTCAGCAGGGAGTCTGCTTCCCTCTCTCTCTACCTACTTGTGATCTCTGTCTGTCAAATACATACATACATACATACAACTACCTAGGATTTTATTGTGAATGGTAGGCAATTTTTACTACCACCCCGGTAACTTTTTAAGTTCAGAGGTAACATACATTTATAGTATGTAAAAAATAAAGATAAGTACAATGGAGAATATAAAACTGGCACCTGTTCCCCCATAACACAGAGGCTATATGCACTACTAATATACACATTACAATATATTTCAGAGAACTTACTAAACTCAAATCATTTATTAACATCAAGGGGAAATTTTTATGCAACTTGAAACATTCAAAGAAGGAGTTTACTTATAAAACATGACTCGAAGCAGTTCTTGGAATGATTCCTCTAAAATTATTAATCTTTAAATAGGACACTAATATAGAAGTAATTCAAACTCAACTAGGCACTTAGCTTTAATTATCTAGACTAGACAATTATTATTCTGTAGACCCCAGAGCGGGTTTAAATGGTGTAGAAACAGAAAGGGTAAAGCAGCAATATAGCACACAGACTTCTAGAATACATACTCCTTTACACCACTACAAAATAGGGGACTTTTGAATCTTTGAAGATCATGTTTATTTCTAATTCCAGATTCTCCCTAATTTTCTAGGTCTTTATCTTTTATAATATTGTGTTTTATTGAAAGCATGTCTACATTTCACTGTTTCTGAAATGTAAAGCTAAAAGAGAAGACTTTTCGAGTGTAGCATAGAAAAGGCGACGAATTGTCATACTCGCACATTTAGTGAGTATAAAATAGGGAGAGGGAAATATGTCAAACTTTGGGTTGGAATTGGAGGAAAAACCTGTTCAGGACTGAAGGGAGGTCCTTGGTTCCAAACAAAAATCTCCCCTTGACTAAAGACTACAAATAATTATGCACGTCAGCTTACAAAGAACCCTGCGTTGCACAAAACTCCACTGGGCCGGGGAGTGGCAAGGATTCAAGGGTGTGGGCTGAGGGGCAGCCCGTGGGCCACACGCATGGCCGGGCTGGAGGCCAGGCACCCCGAGGAGGCTGTGGCTCTGGGCCAGGACCTGGGTAAGAGCAGGTTGGGAAGTCTAGAGGCAGAGGTCAGTGCGGTTGCCGAAAACCTTGCTTTCCAGTCAAGTTTCTAGGATGCTTTCCTCAAATGGGCTTGTTCTTGAAAGTGGCTTTGTCCCTTACTATGCCACAGCAGAGAGCCGCACGCACAAGGACAGAGTCATCTGCGGTACCTTTCTTTCTTGAGGCCGGCGATCTCCGAGTCCCTCCGCCCCAGCTCTATCTGTACTTTCTCCAGAGCGCCTTGCATCTTGCTGTGGGAGGCCAGCACGTTCTCCAACATGATCGTGACCTTGCAGTTGTCCTCCTTAGCCTCCGCCAGTTGTCGCTGAAAGTTTCCCACCTAAAGGGAAAGGGAACCAGAAAAAGATGTTTGATCCTTTCAGGTTACTCAGCTGTGGCTGAGGCCCGTCGCTTCTGAGCACGAGGACGGACACTAAGCGTGGCAGAGTGCTAAGAGGAACGACCGCAGCATATTGTATCTTGTCAAGATCTGAAGTTCTGCGAGAGCCGCGCGCTGCCCAACCACTGCCCTGCCGCGGCGCGCGGACTAGCTGGGGACCCCGGTGTCAGCAGCTCCCTGCTTCCCGACGGGGTGCCCCGGGCTGCTCTGCGGGGTGAGCTTATGGTGGGGCCAGATCACACGTCTGCAGGCCACTGGAACGAGCAACATGTTAATAACACGTAAGTGGACAGGTCACTGTTACCAAGGTCAGCTGTGTGTCAACAGAGAAGAATGAGGACTTTTTAAGACTGGAATTAAAGACATTGGGAGTTAAAGGATGTGTTTCTAAGGCAAACACTTAACAGCTCTTCTAAAACTATCTTTAGAAAACATAATCCTCCTCTGATCGATCCGCATTCTTGCTCAAGGTAACGAGAAATGAAGGACGAGGACTCGTGGAAGATTTCTTACGCGCCTCGCGTCAGTAACAAACGCTCACGGAGGACGGTCGCCTTGCCTTCTTGCTCTCTCTGTCCTCCAGGGCCTCGAGGTCCCCTTTCAACCTCTGACTCTCTTTCAGCGCTGCGTCCCGGCTCCTCATGGCTTGTGAGAGCTCCTCCTCGTTCTTTTCGAGAATGGATTTCACCTTAGTAGAGAACAAGGAAGGACAAATAACTTTTCCAAAGCACTGTAAGTCAGCAATTAGAGTAAGACCAGCAATTTGGAAACCAAGCTCAAAATGTTTAATATACTTATCCACTATAATAAAAACCAGCTTTATGAGCTATTCTTTCCTTTAACGAAAACTACAAAACAGCAGCAAAAAATCTGTGTGAATAAACATGAGCAAACCTAACAGATGTCAATCACCAGGAAAGTACAGGCTAAGTGATGAGGGAGACAAGACTGTGAAGGTCAGAGGTAAAATGGGGAAGAAACGGAGTATCATGGAACTGGAAAATAGAACAAATGCAAGTCTAACGAAAGCAAAGACAAATAAATACTAAGCAAAGTCAAGAAAATAGTGCTATAGAAGAAGGCATCTTAATTAGAAGTATTAGTATTTTATATCGCTGAAATACTTTGAGTATATCTACACAATCATTTCAAATAATCAAATGATCAAGTATTTTAAATATTACTTTTTAAAAATGTGTTGAGGGGGCGCCTGGGTGGCTCAGTGGGTTAAATCCTCTGCCTTCGGCTCGGGTCGTGATCCCAGGGTCCTGGGATCGAGCCCCGCATCGGGCTCTCTGCTCAGTGGGGAGCCTGCTTCCTCCTCTCTCTCTGCCTGCCTCTCTGCCAATTTGTGATCTCTGTCTGTCAAATAAATAAATAAAAATCTTTAAAAAAAAAAAAAATGTGTTGAAATAACGACATCCATAGGATGTTGCAAAAGTAGTACAAAGAGTCCCGTGCAGTCTTCACCCTGCTTCTAATGGTGCCATCTCACACTACTGTAGTTCAACATCAAAATGGGGAAGCTGCCTTTGTACATTACAGATTAACAGATTAACCGGGCGACAGAACTTACTCTGCTTTCACGGTTTTAAAACCCTGCATCCGTCTGTGTGCACGCGCTGAGCTCTGTGTCATCTGACCCCACGCACGTTATTCCTGTGAACATCGTCCCAGTTGAGATACAGAACTGCCCCGTCCTGCCGCAAAGGAATTCACGTGTGCTGCTTCTCTGTGTACACACGCTCTTCCAACCCCGTCCCCAGGCCCCAGGCCAACAAACAATAATTTGTTCTGGACCTCTGTGGTTTTGTCACGTCAAGAATGTTGAACATTTCAACGTAATTAACTTTTGTGTAGGTAACACATTCACATTCTCCTTTTTTTAAACAGCACGTCTGAGGTATGAATGACACAATAAGTTGTGTATATCTCAAGCATACAGTTCTGACATCTATTTAAATTCCTGAAACCATAATCAAGATAATAAGCATTTATCATCTTAAAAGTTCTCTCATGCCTCTTTGTAGTTTCCCCCTTCTCTCTCCTCGTTCCCGTATCTCCACACAAGGCAACTAATCTGTTTTCTGTCACAGTAAATTATTTTATCTTCTAGAATTTTACACAAATGGAATCATATTGGGTGTACTCCTTTTTGAATGGCTTCCTTCACTCAGCGTAATTGATTCCATCTTTTTCATTATCAGTAGTTCAATCCTTCTATTGCTAAACAGTACTCTGTTGGAGGATATACCACAACTTACTGATCCATTCACCTTCTGGACCCTTAAGTTGCTTCCAGCTTTAAGCTATTACAAATAAAGCTGCTGTGAACAGCTGTGTACAAGGCTTTGTGTGGTTTTATGCTTTCATTTATCTTTGGTAGATACACAGTAGAGAGGAATGGCTGGGTTATACACTGTTTCATTTTTAAAGAAACTACCAAACTATTTTTCAGGGTAGTTGGGCCATCTGACACGCCCCCCCCCCCCCCCAGCAGTGTATGACAGTCCCAGTGCTCTGTGTCCTCACTAACATTTAGGATGATCAGTTTTGGGGTTTTACACATTCTAACAGGTGTGTGGTATATCTCACTGTGGTTTTCATTTGCATTTCCCTAACGCCTGATGTTTAACATCTTCTCAATTACTTAGTTATCATCCATATATATTTTTTTAGATTTTATTTATTTGACAGAAACAGACACAGGGAGAGAGGGAACACAGGCAGGGGGAGTGGGAGAGGGAAAAGCAGGCTTCCCCCAGAGCAGGGAGCCCGATGTGGGGGCTCAATCCCAGGACCCTAGGATTGTGACTCGAGCCGAAGGCAGATGCCCAGCACCTGAGCCACTCAGCACCCCTTCACTGTTTTCTTCTTAATAATTTTGACAGTTTAATACATTCGGGAGACAAGGCCTTAAGTGATTTGCAACTATTTTCTCCCAATCAAGTGCTTATATCTTATTTTCTTAATAGCTCTGAAGAGGATAAGCTATCATTTCTTTTTTTTTTTTTTTCCTTTATGGATCATGCTTTTGATGTCAAATCTATCTCTGAAAAGATCACAAAGATTTCCTTCTATGTTTTCTTCTAGAAGTTTTATAGTTTTAGGTTTTACATTTAAGACTGATCCATTTTGAGTTAATTTGTTTTTTTAAAGATTTTATTTATTTATTCATTTATTTGAGAGAGAGAGAGAGAGAGAGAGAGAGAATGCAAGGAGGAGCAGAGGGAAAGGGGCTCAATCTCATGACACTGAGATCGTGACCTGAGCCAAAATCAAAAGACAGACACTTGACTGAGTGAGCCACCCAGGTGCCTGAGTTAATTTTTACATATGGTGTGAGGTATGGATCATAGACTTTTGGGTTTTGCATGTGGATAGCCAACTGCTCCAAGACCATTTGCTGAAAAGAGCATTCTTTTTGTACCTTCACTTTTGTTGAAAATGAAATGTTCATAAAATTACTTTGAATAGATGGCACATTCACATTATTAAGATACAAAAGGGTAAAGTGAAAAATTTCCAGCCATCCAATTTTCTTCCTCAAAAATAATGTTGCCAATCTGTGATTCATTGTAGAGCAATTCTATGCATTACAAGTGAATACATACATACATACATATATATATATATATATACATACTCACATATGTATATATATTTTTATCCTCCTACCCCTTTTACTACACAAATAGTAAAATACTAAATATACTCTTCTGAACCTTGACTGTTTTAACCTAATAATACATATATACTATATACATATACAGTATATACATACATATGTTCAAACAGTATTCCAAATCATGAATACACCATGATTTATTTAGCTAGTTTCTTATTGATGAAATTTTGTTTGCTTCCAGTCTTTTGCTGTTAACAAACAATACTTCAGTAAGTAACCTTATAAATATGCCATATATATAAGCTGGTATGTCTATAGGAGAAAGTCCTAGAAAGGTGAGGTGAAATGATAGATACTAAATTATCCACCACCCCCTCCGCAAGAAGTTGTAACATTTTACACTTCCAACAGCAACAAAACCCAGTATCTTTTATCCACATCTTCTTCAGTATTATTATACTTCCTTAAAACTTTTCACCTGTAACGTTTGAAATACTTCTTTAAGGACCCAAGAATATTACAAAAGATGCCAACCCAGACTCTAAAAATGTCCTGGATTTTGTTCTAGAAATGGACTCAGGAAAGAATATAGTTTTTATAATTTTACCAGTGTTTTTAAGATACATATGAAATGTTTAAGATACATACAGCAGAAATGTTTACAGAAAAGATCTAAATAGTAATCAACTCTAGAAGACAAGTTATATAGTAATTTCTATTTTTAAATATCAAAGATGGATGCTTTAAAAAGTTTTCTTTGGAAAATATTTCCAATGTTCAAGTTTGTGGGGATTTCATTAACGTATTTCTATTTTATTTATTTATTTATTTATTTATTTATTTAAAAGATTTTATTTATTTATTTGACAGACAGAGATCACAAGTAGGCAGAGAAGCAGGGAGAGAGAGAGGAGGAAGCAGGCTCCCTGCTGAGCAGAGAGCCCAATGCGGGGCTCGATCCCAGGACCCTGGGATCACGACCCGAGCCGAAAGCAGAGGCTTTAACCCACTGAGCCACCCAGGCACCCCTAACGTTATTTCTATTTTAAAAAGCAGGCTTTATCTAAACATTTTACCATGAATATTAACATTATATAGATATCATGAATTAAAATCAAAATCAGATTAAAAAGGTGTCAATGTTAATCCAAATCTTTTTGTCTAAAAATTAGTTATTTTTTGTCTAAAAATTATTATTTTAATGATGATTACAATATACACTGTCAGTTTTTCTTATTTGTGAAGAACCTAACTTCCTTGTTGTTTCTCATTGCTCCAAACATTATCTTTCCAGATTGTTACTACTTTTCTTCATTGTTGTATAAATCTGAAATTTCCTTATGACTTAATTTGTGGTCTTCACTTACCGAATCCCGTTTAAGAAAATTTGGTGACTCATTTATTAATGGTCTTGAAGCAAGAATGTCTATTTTACCTTCCAGCCTTCCTTCCATGGTTTTAATAGCGTTCAAAAGAGTCTTTAGAGAGATTCTAGAGTCTGCAATCTCCTGAGAAGCTCTCACAGAAGTCAGAGTAGGTGCAAAGGTCACACGGCGTGTAGAGTTGGGAATTACACTGGGCAAACCAACTGACGAAGTTCTTTCCTTTACGCCGTTTACATGGGGCCTGTAGCTTTCAAACAACTTCGAAGACGCAGGCCTCTCCGGAGATTTCCTTCTTCTTGGAGGCATCACCAATTAAAAACAGTAAAATGGCTAAACCTAGACTTATTTTTCAGTGAATGCTCCTTTTACGAGGAGGAACAACACAATATTCTGAATGAAGCTCTGATGGAAAATATACTTGAAAATGGGTTCCTTTCCTTTCAGAATGAAGAAATCACACTGTGAAGTTGTCCTAGTGAAGAAACTAACCTTCCTTAAATCAAGTTCCCTGTAGGAGAGTGTATCTAATGAGACCCCCTTTTCCGTATGGTCAGATGGTTAGAACACTAACAGTATTCTATTTGAAGACACATTCTAGCTCCTTGGTTACCAGTGCTATACAAACAAAAATATTATCGATATAGAAGTTAGACATACACTAAGATTTTTTTTTTTTAATATCATACATGGTAAATCTGTAAATCATTGAAATGAATCACTTTTTCTTGGTAACACTTTCCTGGATTATTTTTCTTCATGAAATGTTTTATTCTCGTTTGTTGAACTTTCTCCATTCATTTGTTAAAATGTTATGTGATCTACAAAAGGTTTACAGCCTCAGAAGCCACCATGGTAACAAGTAAGCACTTTACTAATGCCTCTTTCATGTGAGCTGTCTGTTGTGAGGGTATCTTGTTGGCACTGAGTTCTGAACTTGCCAATAATTATAAAAACACTTCCTCTATGAAAGTCTTTCTTGATGCTTTCATTACAGTGATGCCCCCTATGAACACTCATAACACCATCTTGCTTCTAAAAGACAAAAATTTTAGTTCTATAATAAAGTTTATGAGTACATTCCTAAGCCTCCAATTAGAGCATAAATAAGTTGAATGTCCCAATCCTGCTTCAGGCATCTTTCCTTCTTACAGTTCAGCAAAACCCTGGACATTGGTGGTTTTTAAAAATTGTTTGCCAATTGAGTCATGTGAGGGAATATTCACCTTTCTGGGACTGTACAGTAAGGTGGGGAGAGAGGCATCAATTTCGTAAAACCTAATTAAAACAACGTAACAGCAATCTGGTTTGTAGTTATTAATCACACCTGAGCATATTTGCTCTCTAGAGCCTTGTTCAACTTGCGTAGATGGTCATTCTGTGAACTAGTTTCAGTAAAAGAATGTAGTTGTTCTTCTAGCTGTTTAACTTTTATCTAGGGTAAAACAGAAGAATAATAAAATAAGGCTTATTAATTTTAGGTGTGTCTATATTATTCATACACACTCTAAAAGAATATATATATTACATACACACATATATACAAGTATATTCACATATACATATACATACATATACACACACATACTCTAAAAGGATATATATATTATACATACACACATACTCTAAAAGGAAAAAGATGTCAGGAGTTTGGAAAAATCAGAGAGAATCCTTAAAAGTTATAAAAGCAATCCTGAGTTTTTCTAATCATGCAAAGAATGCTACCCCAACTAACACAGCTATTTCAATAGCTTAAAGTAGGCTACAGCCATTTACATGTAATGAGATGACTCATTTGGTTTCTATTGCTTATGGAAACTCCAAATTAACATGACTCATGAATATAACAGTGAGACTTTGTGGGTAATAATTTCAATTAAAAAATTGTGGTATCTAACATTCAAAAAACATTTTGAACATAGATAATTAGAATTGTCATTAGGCAAGATGACAGAGTCTTGTTTTATCAACAAAATTATAAAAGCTGAATAAATGAAGTTCTTAAATGATGAATTATATTTTAACACTGAGAAAGATGACATATCTCTTTAAAGAAAATGATCATTTGAGGGAATGAAACCATTAATATTTACTCACTAATCTCCAAATTGTGTTTTTCCAAATTTTCTTCCTATCATACCCAACCCTTTCATACGAATCAACAATTAACATTACTGAGCCTATCCCTGAATCAGAAAAAATTTATCCAAGATTTTTAAAATTTAAATCAACTTTTCCCTCTCCCTATGTCTTGTTTCCTACCTGTAGAGGGTAAACACTTCTTGGCTATAGTTACTGGACCCTTTCAGAAACTATTAAAAATATGATTGCTAATATTGGGTTTTTTTCAAAGACGGCATAAAAGCACATTTTGTCTCAGGAAATCTCTCTAGTATCCTTCTTTTAACTTTGCTTATTTCTGTTGCTCTTTTCCACAAAGTACATTATAAAATATGTGTTGTGGTTCCCTAAAGCCATCATGGTTTTCACTTAAAGTTTCAGAATTAAAATGCCACCTCTAAAGGGAGGTATTGATACAGTAATTATTCTTATCTTAAATATAAGCAAACTGCTGTGAGCCTGTAGAATCTAATGGAAAATGGCTGATTAATTCTGAAAACCTTTAGATTTGCTTCTCTTCAAGCAAAACACAGAATATATCCTTATTTCACAATATTTCTCAGATAATTTGCCTAACTCAACCTCTAGGTACATAGTAAAATGACCTGAAACTTTTCAGATGGCGTTTTCTCATTTATAAGCACTTTAATTTCTGTATTATCATATTTGGCATGATTTTGAATTCAGGACATTCATATGGGAAAGAACACAGAAGCAAATACGTTGTGCTGTCCTAGAGAGAGACCTGGGTTTTCTGTGTCATTAAAATCCAAGCAGTTTCCATTATTAGCTTATCAGCCAGTCTCAGAAAAAGTGGTAACTTAGATCAAGGTCTTTTGTTTATCATTCTTAATCCTTTTTAATAATTTTACTATAAATGTGTCCCTAAATCGTGTATAGTATTATTTTATGAGACTGGTCCATTTTCACACGTATGTCTACACTCTTGTAGAGACTGCTTTCAAAACTGGTATAACAACTTGCAGGAGTAATTTCATAAACTCTAGTAAATTCAAGATCTGTAATCCTACAATCCAGGAATTTTCCCCCTGAGATTTATACTTAGCCTAGAGAATTTTTCTACATTTGAGTACAAGGAGACATGTACAATAAATCATCACATTGGTGTTGTTTGTAAGCAACTAGAAACTGCCTAAGTGTCCATCAATAAAGGAAAGAATAAATCTATTTTTGGCATATTTATAAATTATTACATTGAATTATATTGAAAATAAAATTCAGATCATGTCTGAATCTGGGGAAGCAGTTTCTCACTCAGTCTACATTAGCACCTAAAACCCAGTCTTTATACCAAACATTAAGTCAATTCTAAAAAGTAACATTTTATCAAATGATTCGTAGGTAATATTTTAATCGATTGTTCAATTTAGAGAGAACACAGAAGGTTATTTTGATCATGTTTAGTATGCAGCTCTTCCTTTAAATTAACTTGTAAGAGTATTATGGTATAAGAGCACTTTCCCTTGGGTTGATGGTCAGTCCCTTTGGAATGTGCCAACCCAAGGTATAACATAAAAATACCAGTGAGTCAGTAGTTTCAAGTATTTCAGCTTTCAAAGACTATCAAAAACCTTAAGCCCTTGTTGTAGGAATCTGAGCAGAAAAAGGGTTATATTTTCCTTAAGATTCTGAGGATAACCTCTAAAGTATGTAATTGAGATACAAAAGGTTAAATAGTAATCTACACACCCAGACTGTAATGTTGACTAATTTTCCTAGTGAAAAGGAGATAAGAGATATGCTTCTCCCTCATTTTATAGGTGAAAAAGATGAAACTCAAACAAAACAATCAGAAAATGATTAACGAAATGCCAATAACTACCTATCAAGAATTACTTTAAATGTAAATGGACTAAGTGCTCTAATCAAACAACAAAGGACACAACAAAAGCACTTTTAAGAGGGAACTGTCTAGCAAGGCAAAGGAAAAATCTTATATAAACAACCTAACCCTACACCTAGAAGAGCTAGAAAAAGAAAAAGTCTAAAGCTAGCAGAAGGAAGGAAATAGTAAAGATTAGAGTAGAAATAAACAAAATAAAGACTGAAAAAGTAATAGAAGAGATGAGTGAAACCAAGAGCTGGTTCTTTGAAAAGATAAAACTGATAAACCTTTAACCAAACTCATCAAGAAAAAAAGGACTCAAATAAATACAATCAGAAATGAAGGAAGAGAAACACATCACAGAAATACTAAGGATTATAAGAGAATATTATGAAAAATCGTATGTCAACAAACTGGACAATCTAGAAAACATGGATAAATTTCCTAGAAACATACAATCTCCCCAAATTGAATCAGGGATAGAAAATATGAACAGACTGATTACTAGTTGAATCAGTACTCAAAAAACTCCCAAAAAACAAAAGTCAAGGATCAGATGACTTCACAGGTGACTTCCACCAAACCCTTAAAGTAACAGGTTCTAGGGTACCTGGGTGGCTCAGTGAGTTACGTGCCTGCCTTTGGCTCAGGTCATGATCCTGGAGTCCTGGGACTGAGCCCTGCATTGGGCTCCCTACTGAGCAGAGAGCCTGCTTCTTCCTCTGCCCCTGCTCCTGCTCTCTATCTCAAATAAATAAATAAAATTTAAAAAAAAATAAAGTAACAAGTTCTTCTGATACTACAGTGGTTTATTGCCTACATTTAAAAATATTTTAATTACAGTTGACATAGGATATTATATAATTTTCGCTGTCACTTATTTATTCCATAATTGGAAGTTTGTACCTATTAATCGCCTTCACCTATTTCACCACCCCCAACCCTGATGACCACCAGTTCTCTGTGTTTATGAATCTGTTACTGTTTTTTTTTTTTTTTTTTAATTTGTTCTGTCTTTTGGAAGTTTTTCTTCCTCATATATTTTGGAATATTTGGGAAGAATAGCCATAAAAAAGAATGAAATCTTGCCATCTGCAATGACATGGATGAACTTAGAGGGTGTGATGCTGAGTGAAAGATGTCAGAGAAAAACAAATGCCCTACAATTTCACGTCTACGTGGAATCTAAAAGACAAAACAAATGAACAAAAAACCAGAAACAGATTCAAAAATACATGGTTTTTAGTGGTGGGGAGGATTCGGTAGGTGAATTAGGTGAAGGGGATTAAGAGATACAAACTTCCAGTTATGAAATAAGTAAGTGACAGGGATGAAAAGTACAGCATTGGGAATATGGTCAATAATGTTATAATAACTTTGTATGGTGACACATGGTAAGCACTTCATAATGTACATAATTACAGACCCACTATGTTGTGTGTCAAAAGTTATATAATATTGTATGTCAACTGTGCTTCAATTAAAAATGTAAGAATGTAGGCAGTAAACCACAGCAGTATTAGCAGAACCTCTTACTTTGTCTCCAACAAACATCACAGATATTTTCATATCACGTAACAGTTACTGCAAATATCTTGAACAGCTGTTCGTGCTTATCACTGGTTTGAAATTAGAGAGTTTATTAGAACACCATTAGCTGTTGTTATTGAATGCATTAAAAAAGAAACAAATATTTAAGTATCACAATTATTTTTGAACATTTTGATAAATATTAGATTTTAAAAGAACTAAATTTTTTTTTTAGAGAGTGCACAAAGCGGGGTAAGGGGTGGAGGCAGAGGGAAAGGGAAGAAAGAATTTTTTTGTTTGTTTTTAAAGATTTTATTTAGTTCAGAGAAAGAGAAGACAAACAGGGGAAGTGGCAGAGGGAGAGGGAGAAGCTGGCTCCCCGCTGTGCGAGGAGCCTGACCTGGGGCTTGACCAGGATCGTGACCTGAGCCCACGCTTAACTAACTGGGCCACCCAGGCGCCCCTTGAAAGAGAGAATCTCTCCATCTCACGATGACACTGAGGATCATGACCTAAGCTGAGATCAAGAGTCCAAAGCTTAACCAACTGGGCTACCCCAGTACCCCAGGAACTGAGTTTTTAAAAAAAATATGAAATTTTAAGAAAATTAAGATGTGCCCAAGGTTATACACATATAAATGATTATATTTAAATGTATCACGGACTCCAGAATATATTAATTAAGAGCACACAAACAGTGCCCAAATAGTCTTATTTTTTAGTGGACGATATGTTGTTTCACAACCATGGTTTACCAACTGCCTTTCACATATCTGGGCCGATCTTGTGCACTACTCTCCTAACAGGCTCTCGGAGCAGATGAGATGAGCTTAGCACTGATGTGTTTTATAGTCTGTAGGGAGATTACTTAATCAGATCAGCTCATGGTCTCCGAGCCTAACGGGACTGTACTTCCCACCATCGAATCTGGGGTCCTCAAGTACACAGCTGCACACTGGAGTCCCTGGGGACTCAAAAAGCACTGAAGCCGAGGATCTGGTCCCTGAGATTCTGATCCAGTTGCTCTGAGGGGCAAGCCTTGTCATGGGGATTATAGGTAGACAGAAAAATTGAGAGAGTTTCACTGTGAATGAGAATACTGTCACCCAAATTCTACCATTTTTTTATACTTGCTCATCACATATCAAATCATCTATCAGTTTCCTCTACTGAGCCACCAAACGATTTTTTCTTTTTTTTCTCGTTCATTCCAGAGTAAATGGCAGACATCATACACTTCCCAGAATGAGGTGTTTAAAAATTCCTCAAATGGTCATGTGTAGCTAAGCTGTGAACTACTTATTGAGATTTCAGCATTTCCACTGGGAGCCAGTTATCAGCGGCAAACTTCCCGCCCACAGGAAGCAAGACAGTATCATCCCCTTCACTTAAGTGTATTGCCTGTGAGTCCCAATTCCAGGGCTCTTTCTTTCTTTCTTTCTTTCTTTTTAAAGATTTTATTTATTTATTTGACAGAGAGAGAGAGAGAGATCACAAGTAGGTAGAGAGGCAGGCAGAGAGAGAGGTGGGGGGTGGAAGCAAGCTCCCCGCTGAGCAGAGAGCCCAATGTGGGGCTCGATCCCAGGACACTGAGACCATGACCTGAGCTGAAGGCAGAGGCTTTAACCCACTGAGCCACCCAGGCGCTCCCCAGGGTTATTTCTTTTCAAGAACATTATAAAATTTCAGCAAAAAAGAGAGCATGGGCTGTCTACATTCTCAATGAATAACCATGCAAGCATGAAACAATTATAATACAACTTCAAATAGTCACAGAATGGGTTTTGGTTTCAAAATTTGGTTTCATAATTTTATACATATTCAGTGTTACATTACAGATATGTGAATAGAAGTCACCTGGATTTTATTTAATAAGGCAACAAACTAAGGGGGGGGGGTTCAAACACTTTGGTCCAAAGTTATAGAATTTCTCAAAACCTAGCAATACTTAGCACAAAAACTGTGATTAAAAAAATTACATAATACAAATCAAAATAAAATCTCATACCTGGAGTTTTCCCTTTTCGTAGGCCAGTTTATTTTTACTCTCAGTAATTTTTCCCAAGGCCTTTTCCACTTGCTGCTGGGCAAGCTGACAAAGCAAACACAGGTGTCAGCACCGAGGCATAGAACGAAATAACCACTTCTGAACAAGTATTTATACCCTTACCATTTCTACAGTGCCCAAACCAGGATACATATTTATTTGCCTTTGCTGCCTCTTAGCTCTTCCCTAGAGCGACCAGTACTTCTATACAACCTACCCCCAAATTATGCACATTCAATATAAAAATTTATGTCCAATATTAAGCAAGAGTAGGTTAACTATTACAGCCATCTGAGTATTTGTCCTATCAGACCAGTATTTATTTCATACATAATTACACATATTTGTACATTGTCTCTCAAAGTTTCTTTCCTTCTTCTTCTTCTTCTTTTTTTTTTTTTTTAAGAGAGAGAGCTCTTGAGAATGTGCAAGGGAGGAGCAAGAGAGTGCAAGTGGGGAGTGGGAGAGGGAAAGGGAGAGAATCTTAAGTAGGCTCTGTGCGGAGCCCAATATGGGGCTTGATCTCAAGATCTGAGATCATGACCTGAGCCTAAATCAAAAATTGGATGTTTAACAGCCATCCAGGTGCCCTGTTAAAGTTTCATTTTTAATCACTAAGTGTGGTTCCTACTAATGCAAAGGAAAATATGTTTTAAAAGCATTCAGACCCAATGAAGTATTGGTTTCAAAATAACCTAAGAGAGCTATAGATTGTTATCAATAAATAGGAGGCTAATAGCGATATATTATCAAAAAATTAATCAATTTTCTGTCAGTGGAAATTCCCCTTTCCCACAATACTTCTATTTTGGAAACTGAAGTAAAAACATTCCATGAACACAACATTTGGGATTATGTTTTGACCAAGTCTTCAGCAAAAATAAATGATAAGGGTGGCCACTGATATTACAAAAACAAAGATATACCATAACCATAAAAACTTAGTTATTTAAAATTCAATTCTAAATTCTATAAATTGAGGTACCCAATGTACTGTAAAGTGCAGATTTGGTGTATAAAACACCAAGAGACAGACTTAACCTAAAATATGCTAGCTGTAACAAACAGAGGAAACTGCTTGCCTTTTTGGAATATGAAAAAAGTTTTTTTGGTAGTAACTTAGATGATCTGGGTCTCTTATAAAAGGTATCCAGGAATTTTTAAAATAATGGTACTTTGACCTCAATAAAATTCCCTCTTTTAAACAAAGGCATAAGAAATTATATTAATCTTTTAAATATGCTTTAGGGGTGCCTGGGTGGCTCAGTGGTTAAAGCCTCTGCCTTCGGCTCAGGTCATGATCTCAGGGTCCTGGGATCGAGTCCCGCATCGGGCTCTCTGCTCAGCAGGGAGCCTGCCTCCTCCTCCTGTCTCTCTCTGCCTGCCTCTCTGCCTACTTGTGATCTGTCAAATAAATAAATTAAAAAAAATAAATAAATATGCTTTAAAAATAATTTCCCTTTTTTGGTCACCTAGCAAAATCAAAATGTGATTCATATTTGACACAAGGTCCTTTATTTAAATTCACAACAAACAAAAAAGAAATTGTTCTAGTTGCTAAAGGAAAGCAGATATTAAGGCAATAATTTAAATTATTGTTTCCAGACTATTTAAATAGGCCTTATATTTAAGAGAATCAGTGGGAGACCAGAAATTAGAGAGCACTTGAATGAGTGATTATCTTGGATTCTGAGTTGTGAAAGGCCAAAAAGAGATTAACCTTTGCTTAAATAATCTTGTCAATATACTATATAGATTATTAATATGCAAAGCGAAATAAAAATTGAAGAATCACTTGAGAAGAACCATACAAAGAAAAATGCTAATGGTTAGAATATGCATTTTAACTGATTCAAAGATATCACTCTTTGGAAAAAGCAGGAAGCAAACAGAATTATCTTAAGATATGAAAGGTTGATAAGGATTCAACTGTAAACCTCCCTCATTTTCATCATTCCTCACTATGGTTCCCTGAATGACTGCCTGTGTTAAGAGACTTAAATTGTACCATCCTTAAAGGCTGAAATAATAAAAATAAACCCAAAATCAGTGTGAAGGAGAAAAAAAAAATACTGTTTAAACATGGATAAAGTATGCTAAGCTCTGTGATGAGCACTTTACATACAATATGACATTTACTCCTCATGTCCTGGCAAGACACATGACCCTCCTTATATTCCACTGAATTAATCTTTCTTAAATACCTATTATGTATTAGGTACTATGTTAGGTAAGGGAGTATAAAGATAAGTAACTACAGTTCTTGCATTAGAAGAGAATGAAGGCAGATACATAATTCTAATCAATGAAGTTATTATTTTGATATGTATATGCACAGTGTGCTGTAGGAAACCCATGGTTAGGAGGGATCCCCTTAGTGCCAAAGGCCCTAAAGTTTAAGGCTTGCACAAGTCACACAGTCAATGGAACCAAGTGTTGAAACCAGGTTTGTCTGAGTTCAAATCTGTGGTGTGGCATATACAGCACACACTCATAAGCATTATCTCCAAAATCCAGGAAGAAGTTATACTAGAAGGTAGCTCTTATTGAGAATTTCAAGTGTTAATTCCCAAAGAACAAAAATACACTGCCAACATTGAATGGTGATAGGTCTAATGATACTGTTGAGATTAAAAAAAAACCAAAATCCCAAATCCTGACACCTCAACCTCATTTCTCAAGACTCATACGGCCAAAAGGAGGGCTTCTGGGCAGGCATGGTCAGAGAAAATTCTATGTAGAAGCACAAAACTGCAAGACGGAATTGAGGTGTGGTTTATAACTGGGAGACCTTAAGAGGTGCTATGAGCAGGAAAGAATCAACACTGACTGATCGAATCATTGTCAGGATCCGTCAAAATCACTACTAGGATGAGGCCACAGGCCTACTCACCTGGCAGTGGGGCATGAAAGAATCAGGCAGACTGAGATGTGGTCTTCCAGAGGGACCAGAAGCAGGTGGGTTGATAAGCCCAGCTGATGCATGGCCAATGAGCAAGTAGTGGACATGGATAAATCTTTAAACTTGGGGGTGGGAATATTGGTCTGAGATAGTACCAGGAATTAGAACTAATGCACCTTGTTGCTGTAATAGCAACTTAAGGACCTTTTTTCTGTGATGGTTCAGATACTAAAAGTTCAATAAATGGTAGTTATCTGCTATATGCTTTACATGATTAACATACTTAATCCTTAAACAACTTCCTAATAAAGGTATTAATTTCCCTACTTTGACAGATTAAGAAACTGAGGCTCTGAGAGGTCACAGCCAAAATTGAAACACAGGCAGTCTGGCTCTAAAGCTATGAAAAGGTAATGGATTTAGACTTACTCTCTAGGTTTTCATAATTGAAGTAATGAGAAGCCTATGACAGAAATTGAAAGAATTTAACTCAGATTAAGAGAGACTCACATCGGGGCCATCTCTGCAATTTTCAAAGGTGATCGGCATGCTCTAGAAACAATTATTTTTTCAAGTACTCAAAAGCACACAGGAAAACTTATTAGTTGTTTAACAAAATGATCATCTCTTTAAATACCCTTCACTGAGAGATGTTTTCTGAACTCTACCATTTATTTGTTTTTTGTTTTTTTGGTTTTTTTGTTTTTTGTTTTTTAAGATTTTATTTATTTATTTGACAGAGAGAGATCACAAGTAGACGGAGAGGCAGGCAGAGAGAGAGAGAGAGAGGGAAGCAGGCTTCTTGCTGAGCAGAGAGCCCGATGTGGGACTCGATCCCAGGACCCTGAGATCATGACCTGAGCCAAAGGCAGCGGCTTAACCCACTGAGCCACCCAGGAGCCCCATACCATTTATTTGTTTTGCACTGACCTTGTCAAACAGCTTTTAGAAATTGTACGTATTACTGATTGCCTAATGGAACTTTTAGACAAAGAAAATAAAAATGTAAGCTTCTTCCTCATAATTTATGGTAGAGGAAATTTTTTTTAAAGATTCTATTTATTTATTTAACAGACAGAGATCACAGGTAGGCAGAGAGGCAGGCAGAGAGAGAGATGGGAGGAAACAGGCTCCCCGCGGAGCAGAGAGCCCGATGCGGGGCTCGATCCCAGGACCCTGGGATCATGACCTGAGCCAAAGGCAGAGGCTTTAACTCACTGAGCCACCCAGGGGCCCCAGTAGAGGAAATATTTTTAAGCATTATAAATATTTGTGCTTTTCAGTATTATAGATCATCTGTGGAGGCAGATGTTTAACAGCTGCCTTAGATTCTTGTTTTCTTAAATCTCTTATTGTTTAAGTACTCATAAGGCTCTCTGTTATATTTAGCCTGAGTTATTCAGGACTTAATAATAATTATTAAAACACCAATAAATGGGGGCGCCTGGGTGGCTCAGTGGGTTAAAGCCTCTGCCTTCGGCTCAGGTCATGATCCCAGGGTCCTGGGATCGAGCCCCGCATCGGGCTCTCTGCTCCTCGGGGAGCCTGCTTCCTCCTGTCTCTCTCTGCCTGCCTCTCTGCCTACCTGTGATCTCTGTCTGTTAAATAAATAAATAAAATCTTAAAAAAAAAAAACCAACACCAATAAATGAAGAAAACCCATCTTCTGACCTTTGATTTTTAAATTCTTAATTCTTAATTTAGACTGACCTTTTTATACCCACCCCATTGTAATCAGAAGTGACTTGCCGAAGTTCTAGGGAAGCCATTTGTTCCGCCAGGTGTTTATTCTTTTCCTCGAGAATGTGCAGGTTTTGGGTTAATGCATTTATATCTATCTTTGAAACACAAAAGGAGAAAAGAAATCTATTTATGCTAGATCCAAAAATATTACCTTATTTTAAAAATGACATTTTAAACTGTAATTTAGAGCTTATTGTATGAACATGTCCTCCTGTCTCTAAATGCAGGGATTTATAGTCTGATAGTTCTATAATTTTGTAAACTTTTTTTTCTTTTAAAAATTTTCAGCTTTTTAGTTGTCTTCAGCAGGATGGCTATGACAAATTACATCATTCACATTTACTAGAAGTAGAAAATCTCTGGAACTTGGTATTTACTTATATATTAATTTCAGCTTATGAATATAGATGTAGAAAGCCTCCACCAAACACTAGTAAAATGAATTCAGCAATATATAAAAAGGATAACAAGCCAGGACTAAGTTTATCCCAGTAATACAAAGCTTGTCAAACATTCAAAATTAATTAGTATAATTCACTATATCAATAGATTAGAGAAGAAAAAATGTTAATAACTCTATTACCCATAACTCAAAAATATATAGTAAAATAAAGAATAAGGGGATTTAAAAAGTACACTAGAAATATCTTCTTAACAAAGAAGGCAGCAGTAATGGAGAGAGGAATAAGAAACATATAAGACATAAAAAATAAGTACAGTGGCAGATGTAAATCCTATCAGTAATTATGATAAATATAAATGGATTAAACACTCTACCAAAAAAAGGAGACAGGCAGAATGAATTTTTTAAAAGATCCAACTATATGCTGTTAATAAAAAACACATTTTTAGATTCAAAAACACAAATGGGTTGAATGAAAAAGAATGGAAAAAAAATATCATGTAAACAGTAACCTGAAAAGAGCTGGAGTGGTTGTACTAACATTAGACAAAATAAACAAAAATGTGTGAGATAAAGAAGGCCTTTTATCATAATGGTTTATAAGAAATAAGTTTGGTCACTCAGATGACCAAAATATATGTCACAGATATATGTGGCCTTCATTCACAGTTCCTGAGAACTGTGGAACAGAGCCATAATGGTGAAATACGTTCTTGTTATTAATGAAGGTGACTTCTGGTCCCCACCCAAGCATAGGGGCTGATTGCCAGGAGGACCAACCATGTGATTAGTGGGTTGGAACTTTCAGTCCTAGTCCCTAACATCCAGGGAGGGAAGAGGGACTGAAGACTGAATCAGCCAATGGTCAATGACTTAGTCAGTCATGACTATGCAGTGAAGCCTCCATAAACCCCCCAAAGGACCGAGTTCTATGAGCTTCTGGGTTGTGAACACATGGAAATTAGGGATAGTGGTGCCCCTGGAGAGGCATGGAACTCACCGCTGTTTCCCCATACTTCATCCTATGTTATCTCTTCATCTGGCTGTTCATTTGTATCATTTATCATATCCTTTCATAAACTGGTAAATGTATCTCCTTAAGTGCTGTGAGCCACTTTAGCAAATTAAAAGAATCTTAGGAGGAGATTGTTGGAACCTACAATCTATAGCCAATAGGTAAGAAGCACAACAGCCTGGTGTTAACAACCTGGAGTGTGCAACTGGTGTCTGAAGTAGGAGTTCAAGAGTGGGAGCAGTCTTGTAGGACTGAACTTGTAGGGCAGTCGTGTAGGACTAAACGCTATTTCTGGGTAGTAGTGTAAGAATTGAGTACAATTCTTGGACACTTTGCTGGTATCCAAAATCTGTTTGGTGTTATGTGTGTGGGAACCCCCCCTCCCACATGTTGGAATTGGGTCCAGAAACTTAAAAAAGACATTACATATTGAAAAAAGGGTCAATCCATCAAGAAGATATAACATTTATAAATATACGTGCCTCTAACAATAGAGTCCCAGTATAAATGAAGCAAAAACTAACAGAATTAAAGGTAGAGAAAAATGATTCAACATAGTTGGACACTTTAATATCCCACTTCTAGTAACGAATAGAACAATAAGAAGATCAATGAGGAGACATAACTTGAAAAACACTATGAAGAACTGGACATCTATAGAATACTCATTCCAACAATAGCAGAATACCATTTTTCTCAAGAGTACATACAACATTCTCCAGAATGTTCCATATGTTAAGCCATAAAACAACTCTCAATATATTTGAAGAACTGGAATTATACAAAATATGTTCTCCAACCACAATGAAATAAAATTGGAAATTAATGAAAGAAGGAAATTTGGGAGGGTCACATATATGAGAAAATTAAAAAACAAACTTATAACAAATGAGTCAAAAAGAAAATCACAAGGGAAGTTAAAGGATACTTTGAGTCGAATGAAAATGAAAACATGACCAAATGTATAGTATGCAGCTAAAGCAGTGCTCAGAGGGAAATTTATAGCTATAAACACCAATGTTAAAAAAGAAGAAATAAACTAACAACCTAAGCTACTCTCTTAAGAAACTAGAAAAGGAACAAATTAAACCTAAGCAAGCAGAAGGAAGAAAATAATGAGGATTAGGGCAGAAACAAAAGGCAGAATAGAAAAACAACAGACATGATCACTAAAACCAACAGCTGGTTCTTTGACAAGATGAACAAAATGGACAAACCTTTAGCTATATTAACAATAATAAAAAGACAAATTACTGAAATTGGGAATGAAAGAAGGAACATTACACTGAATATAAAGAAATGAAGAAAAGGAGCTACTCTGAACAATTGTATACCAATAAATTAGAAAGCCTCGGTGATATGGGAAAACTCGTAGAAAGACCAAACTACTGAAACTGACTAAAAAAAGAAGTAGAAAATGTGAATAAGCCTTTAATAAGTAAAGAGACTCAATTAATAATAAAAATTAAAAAGAAATAAAATTTAAAATTCCCCACAAAGAAAAACCTAGAACTATGGTGAATTCTACGAACATTTAAAGATGAATTATCAGGGGTGCCTGGGTGGCTCAGTGGGTTAAAGCCTCTGCCTTCGGCTGAGATCATGATCTCAGGGTCCTGGAATCAAGCCCCGCATAGGGCTCTCTGCTCAGTGGGGAGCCTGCTTCCCTTCCTCTCTCTCTGCCTGCCTTTCTGCCTACTTGTGATCTCTGTCTGTCAAATAAATAAATAAAATCTTTTTTAAAAAAGATGAATTATCATTAATCCCTCAGAAACTCTTCCCAAAAATAGAACGGGAGGGAACATTTACCAAATCATTTTAAGAGGCCACTATTACCTTGATACCAAAACCAAAGACATCACAAGAAAACTATAAAACAATATCCCTTATTTATAACAATTCAAAAATCCTCAAAAAGATGTTAGCAAGCCAAATGAAACAATATAAAAAGGATTACACTCATGAGCAAGTAAAAGTTATCCCCCAAATGAAAGCTTGGTTCAACATCTGAAATCAAACAATGTAAAATAATCTACAAGATTATCTCGATAGCATAGAAAATGCAATTGACAAAATTCAACATACTTTCATGATAAAAACTCTCCAAATTAGGAATAGAAGGGAATCTTCTCATCCTGCTAAAGGGCATTTAGAAAAAGCCCAGAGCTAATACTGTACTTAACAGTGACAGATTGAAAGCTTTCCCCCTAAAATCAGGAACAAGACAAGGATGTCTGTCTACTCCAACATTTCTATTCAGCATTATACTGGAGATTCTATTGAAGGCAATTACACAAGAAAATGAAAGAAAAGGCAGTGAAATGTGAAAGGAAGAAATAAAACTATATCTATTTTCAGATGATACATTCTTATAGAGAAAAAAATACAAGATATTATGATGACTGCAAAAGTCCCCTAATCTATAGATTCAAGGCAAACCCTATCAAAATTATAGCTGCCCTTTTTTGCAAAAATGGAAAAGCTGACTCTAAAATTCATATAGAAACATAAGTATTCAGAATTGTCAGAACAATCTTGGGGGAAAAAAAAGACAAAGTTGGAGGACTCATGCATCTTGATTTCAAAACTTGCTACAAAGCTACAGTAATCAAGACTGTGTGGTTCTGACATATGAAAAGACATACAGACCAGTGGAATAGAATTGAGAGTCTAGAATAAACCCATACGTCTATGGTTAATTGGGTTTTGACAAGGGAGTCAAGACTATTCAAAAGAGGGCGCCTGGGTGGCTCAGTGGGTTAAGCCTCTGCCTTCGGCTCAGGTCATGATCTCAGGGTCTGGGATCAAGGCCCGCATCGGGCTCTCTGCTCGGTGGGGAGCCTGTTTCCCCCTCTCTCTCTGCCTGCCTCTCTGCCTATCTGTGACCTCTCTCTCTCTCTCAAATAAATAAATAAAATCTTTTTTTTTTTAAAGATTTTATTTATTTATTTGTCAGAGAGAGAGAGAGAGGGAGAGAGAGCAAGCACAGGCAGACAGAGCAAGAATGGCAGGCAGAGGCAGAGGGAGAAGCAGGCTCCCTGCTGAGCAAGGAGCCCGATGTGGGACTCGATCCCAGGACACTGGGATCATGACCTGAGCCGAAGGCAGCTGCTTAACCAACTGAGCCACCCAGGCGTCCCAATAAATAAAATCTTTAAAAAAAAAAAAAAAAAAAGACTATTCAAAAGAAAGAACAGCTTTTCAACAATGGTGCTGGGACAACTGGATAACCACAGGCAAAATAATCAAGTTGAACCTCTACCTCAACCCATATATACAATTAACTCAAAATGAACAAAGACCTATATATGTAAAACTATAAAAATCTTAGAATAAAAAAGTGTTAATTTTTGTGACCCTGGATTAGGCAAGTTTCTCACATGTGACATTTAAAGCATAAGCAACCAAAAAAAAAAAAAAAAGTAAATTGAACATAATAAAAATCTAAAAATTTAAAAACAGAACCCAGAGAATGGGAGAAAAATATCTGCAAACCACATATCTGATAAGGGTCTATGATCTAGAATATGTAAACTCTTATAACTGAACAATTAAAAGACAACCCAGTTTACAATGAGCTACTGATCTGAATAGACATTTCTCCAAAGAAGATATACAAATGGCCAATGAGCACATAAAAAGATACTCAACATCAGTAGTTATTAGGGAGATGCAAATCTAAATCACACGGTACCACTTTTCACATCTACTAGGATGGTTATTATTAAAAAACAAAAAAACAGGAACCTCTGCAAAGATGGCAGAGGAGTAGGGGACCCTATTTTTAACTAGTCCCCTGAGTTGAGCTGGATATCTGCCAGAATATTCTGTACACCCATGAAATCAGCCTCTGATGTAAGAAGATACACCTTGATTTCTACAAACAGAATACCCCAGGCGGTTGGTCTTGGGGTATGAAGCGGGGAGCCATGACACACACACAAACAGTGAATTATTACTCATCCATAAAATGAATAAAAGGTAATGAAATATTGCTATGTACAACATGGATGAACCCCAAAAGTGTTACACTAAGAAGCCAGACACAAAAGATCACATATTGTATGAATATATGAAATATCTAGAATAGGTAAATCTATACAGATGGAATGTAGATTAGTGGCTGTTAGAGTTAGGGGAAGAGGGGATTAGGGAGTAATTGCTTAATGGGTACAGGGTTTCCTTTTGGGGTGATGAAAATGTTTTGGAACTAGAAGAGTTGGTGGTTATACAACATTGTAAGTATAAAAAATGTCGCTGAATTGTTCACTTTAAAGTGTATGATTTTCTTTTATGTGAATTTCACCTTAATTGAAAAAAACACAATGAGGTATTTCCTAGCCACTTGCATAGGTATATTAATTTTTTAAGAAGTAGACAATAACAGATGTAGGTGAAGATGTGAAGATATTTGAATCCTCATACACTGCTGGTGGGATTGTAAAATGGCGTAGCTATTTATAAAAACACTCTGGTAGATTCTCAAAATGACAGCATTATCCTAAGACCCAGTTTTACTCCCACAGAATCAAAAACATATGCTCACATAAAAAAAATGTACACAAATGTTCATAGCATTATTCTTCACAGCCAAAATAGTGGGAACCACCTGAATGTCTATAAGCTGATGAATGGCTAAATGAAGAGTGGTATAGTCACACAATATAATACTACCCAGCCATAAAAAGGAATGAGATACTGACATATATTACAGTATGGATAAACCTTGAAAACATTAACCTAGTAAAGAGGCCAAACATAAAAGGACACATACTGGTTTACTCCATTCATATGAAATGTGGTAATAAACATACCCATGTAGACAGAAAGTAGAACAGTGGTTGCCAGAGGCTGGAGGCAGACCAGAATGGGGAGGGACTGCTAATGGGTACCAGGTTTCTTCTTGGTGATAAAAAGGTTCTGGAATTAGATAGTGGTAATCTATAAAGAACTGCTCAAACTCAACACACACAAAACAGATAATCATGTCAAAAAATGGGCAGAAGACATGAACAGACACTTCTCCAGTGAAGACATAGAAACGGCTAACAGACACAAGAAAAAATGTTCATCATCACTAGCCATCAGGGAGATTCAAATCAAAACCACATTGAGATACCACCTTACACCAGTTAGAATGGCCAAAATTAGCAAGACAGGAAACAACATGTGTTGGAGAGGATGTGGAGAAAGGGGAACCCTCTTACACTGTTGGTGGGAATGCAAGTTGGTGCAGCCACTTTGGAAAACAGTGTGGAGATTCCTTAAGAAATTAAAAATAGAGCTTCCCTATGACCCTGCAATTGCACTACTGAGTATTTACCCCAAAGATACAGATGTAGTGAAAAGAAGGGCCATCTGTATTCCAATGTTCATAGCAACAATGGCCACAGTCACCAAACTGTGGAAAGAACCAAAATGCCCTTCAATGGACGAATGGATAAGGAAGATGTGGTCCATATATACAATGGAGGATTATGCCTCCATCAGAAAGGATGAATACCCAACTTTTGTAGCAACATGGACGGGACTGGAAGAGGTTATGCTGAGTGAAGTAAGTCAAGCAGAGAGAGTCAATTATCATATGGTTTCGCTTGTTTGTGGAGCATAAGGGAAAAAACGGAGGACATGGGGAGATGGAGAGGAGAAGGGAGATGAGGGAAATTGGAGGGGGAGATGAACCACGAGAGACTATGGACTCTGAAAAACAATCTGAGGGTTTTGGAGGGGTGAGGGGTGGGAGGTTTGGTGAGCCTGGTGGTGGGTATTATAGAGGACATGTATTGCATGGAGCACTGGGTGTGGTGCATAAACAATTCTGGAACACTGAAAAGAAATTAAAAAAATAAATAAAAAATTTTTAAGTGGTAATGGTTGCACAGACTTGTGAATAAACTAAGAAACCACTGAACTGTATATTTTAAGGAGGTGAATTTACAGTGTATTAATTACATCTCAATAATAAAATGTACTAGATCAGACAATCCATCTGAAAATAAAATGAACCTTGCATGATATATGAAAATTAACTAAAAACAGACCATTGACCTAATATAAGATCTAGAACTATATAACTTCTAGAGAACAAAAAGGAAAATCTTTGTGATTTTAGGTTAGTCAAAAATTTCTTAGATATGACACAAAGGGTATGATCCAAAAATAAAAAATTTGACAAGTTGGATTTTATCAAAATGTGAACTTCTGCTCTTTGAAAGAGCATGAAAAAAACAAGGCATAAAATGGGAGAAAAATATGTAAAGCACTTAGAAGATCTGCACATAAACAAAAAGTATGAATTTTTTATGTAAGAATCAACATGAGAATATTTTTAAAAATCTCTGAAAAATCAATAATAAGAAAACGGAATTAAAATGGTTAAAATATTTGAAGAGACACTTAAACTTGTGAATAACCAATAAGCAGATGAAAAGATGCTCAATGTTATTAATCACTAGAGAAATGCAAATTACAGCCACAATGATATGCCAGTCTACACCAGCAGTTAGAATGGCCAAGACTCAAAGGACCAACGCTACCATGTGCCGGCAGGAATGCAGCGAGAGTAGAACTCTTCTACACTATTGACGGAAGGCAAGATAGTATATATTCTTTGGAAAATAGCTGCTGAATTGTTTTCAAATATGTATTTCCCATAGGATCTAGAATTCCAACTCCAGATAATTAGCCAAGAGAAATAAAAATACATGTTCAGATGTGAACATTTATATAGGCTTTATTCATAATTGCCAAACGTCCTTCAAGTGGCAAACGGACAAAGAAATTCTGATATGCCCATATCATGGAACACAAACAACTGAAACACACGACAAGAACCTGGGAGAACTTCAAATGTCTTAAGCTAAACAAAAGAAGCCAGACTTAAAATGTTACACTTTATATGATTCCATTTATAGGATATTCTGGGAAAGACATAACTATAGGAACAGAAGCACAGGCCAGTGGTTGCCAAAGGATGGTGGTACAAGAAGACGTTAAAGGTAAAGAGCTATGAGGGACCTTCCCAGGGTGATAAAATGTTCTGTATTTTGATTGTGTGGTGGCTCCATAATTGATGTGTTGGTCAAAATTCACAGAACTGTACACTAAAAAAAGGGTGAATTTCACTATGTATAACTTAATAAGCCTGACTTCAGAAAAACATAGCTTTACAATAAATAGACATTTGAAAAATATCAAATCAGACCCCCCCAAAACATAGGACTCGGTATAAGCATTACCATTTGGTCTAATAGAACCTCTCTTTAGCCCCATGAACTCACACTTAGCCTACGTTCAGACAAATAAAATTAGACAAGCAAAATGATGCTATTTTTAATCAAACACATAGAACATTTGCCTTCGCCATGTAACATTCCCTACATTCAAGCGAAAAGCATTCATGAGTTTAATAGTATCCATCAATTTTCCAAATTTTAAAAAAGCATATTTGAGGACAAACTGACACCAGCAAGTCCTCACCGTGGGAAGTAAGCTTTTTAAGAAGATTCTTAGGTTGGATGATTTTTCAAATTACTAGAGATTAGTCACTAAACCACAGATTACCTGACAGAGAGTTGAACAAGATCAGAGCTTGGGCTCAGAAACTTCTTAAATTACAAGTTCACACATACGTGGTTCTGGTAACACGAACACTGCTTAATAGGGCCAGAAGCCAAGCAGTAATCAAGGAGCAATGGTTCTACAGACGCGAGCCGCAGGACTACTGTCTGGGGCAGGCGAATTCTCCTTGACGCTCCATGACAGTGATACATAACCTTTATGCTTTTCAAATTTTGGAAACACAAACAGCAATGCTTTAAAGACTGGCTTTTGTTTTCTTTTAATAAGAGTATTTGTGTCTCTGGCCATTCTATCTTTTTAGGACGCAGGAGGGAGTATCTTACAGATGAGTGACAGGAGCTAACAGGTACTTAGGAAGCCCACGTGAGCTTTTTAAAAAATAAAACAGCACTGTCAGCAATGATCTCTTTGCCTCCCACAGGGCCATCGAGGGACTTCCTGGCTAAAATACTCAGTGAACACCAGGGCCGGAGGCCGTCGTGACTCACGGGCCAACACCAGATGCTCGAACGCTGCGCAGCAGCAGCCCCGTGCTGGCGCGACTGGAGCCGTGACCAGAGCGCTCTGCAGGGCGCCCACCTCAGTGGCTTCTTCCCCCCACCCCCCACGTCCTGGTAATCAACTGAATAACCCTTCTCCTCAGTTAAATAAGCTCATACGGGAGGCACAGATACAGAAGGAAACACAGTGAAATAACAAAAAAAATACGGAATACCTTGTTTTTGGCTAATTCCTTTTCCAAATTGCATTTTTCTTGCGCTATTTCTTTCTCTGTTTTATCAACCTGCCCAAGGAGGGGAAACAAAGAAAGGCTCAGTTTCAGTGCAGCCGGCAGGCTCTACTACAGCAGACACACCCTGTTCACGAATACCTACACTGCCGAGATAGCACATCCTCTCAGAAAAGGGGCCACTCAGGGAGTCTCTGAGGCAGAGCAGACTTCACAAATAGCCCTGAAATTAGAAAGACACGTCTGCACGTCAGACTCTGCTGGTTCCTTCCTCAGCAGGAAGACAGAGCTGTTCCCCCTTGACCTCCACTGTCCCACGCCTTCAGGGGAAATCAGCTTTTTAAATCTGACGCCTTCGCTACCATGAGGATGTGTGAGCCACTAGTTAATGCTGTGCAAGGGTGGGCTGTTTGGCACAGTCTACGTCACATGCTACCGGACAGAGATTAGCCACCTAAAGATTTCTTTAATGGGCAACTCAGACTAACTGCATCTGGGCTGTATTTCTCATCTTTGGCACTTAAAATAGTTTTAAAACAAGATCACCACCACAACCAGGAGGTAACATAAATCTGCTGCTACCTACCTCTCCCTGAAATCTTTCTTTCTCCTCCAGCAGAGACTTCTTCTCCTGGATTGATGCTTCCAGTTCACCGCGCAGTCTTGCAATTGTTGTTTCTAGCAGCTCCTTCTGCAAGGCTGTCCTCCTCTCAGCATCCTGTGCTTTCTGGATACACTGATTATGCTCGAGGATTAAATGGTCCCTGTAAGAAGAGAACGAGGAGACATGAGCGCTGAGAGTTCTTTATTTAATAGACCCCTGTTCTCCCAGAACATAGTGGCTGAGAGCAGTTGCCAAAATGTTCTAACAAAACTAGTTCCTTGAGGGCAAAGTCTTTATTTTATCTTTGCGTCTGGTCCAAGAAATGCAGAATTAAACGTTTCCATTAAAGACAAGAAATACAAATGCGAGGGGCGCCTGGGTGGCTCAGTGGGTTTAGAGCCTCTGCCTTCGGCTTAGGTCATGATCCCAGGATCCTGGAATCGAGGCCCGCATCGGGCTCTCTGCTCAGCAAGGAGCCTGCAAAATAAAATGTAAAAGAAAAAAAGAAATACAAATGCGAGAACAAAAGATACAGAAGAAGTTGCCTATAATTTACTTACAGATGTGTTTGGAGTTGGATTTTCTCATTCTGAACAGTCTCTAGCTCCGTAGTGATACTGGCATGGGCTGCATCCAGGAGTAAGTTTTGTTCTTGAAAGGTCTGTGTCATCATTTTCTTCTCTACCTGAGTTATGGAAGCAATATTAAAAGCTGAGATGCCAGGAAGTCATTTAATAGGGTACCATTGAAAATGACTGGTCAAAGATAGTGACTTAGCTTATGAGAGATAAATTTTTATATAAATAAGACCTCTTTTTAAAGAATTTAATGTTCAGCTTTCTCTTTGTCCCCACTCTGACCTGACCACAATTCTGTCATTTTATAGCTCTACCAGCCAACAGTGAAGATGCATTATTTACCCAGCCTGCTGCAAAATTTATAAAACTCTTAACATGAACATATTTTTAGATATAAAATTCTACTAGGAATATTTTGGTACTTCAAAATTTTAATATGATACATATTTTTAAAAAAGAACATCAACGTGTATAAAGTGAAAAGATCTCTTCACTTACACTCCCCACCCCCCTTTAAAATAATCCCACTTCTCCAGGGGCAATCATGTTAATAATTTGCTGTGAATTCTTTGGAAAATATTTGAAATTGCACTCAGCTACTGTTACAGAAGCACTATATGGGAATACCTAGGAGATATTGTGGGTTCACTTCCAGGCCACCACAATAAAGTGAATAGTACAATAATGCTAGGCAAATAATTTTTTGCTTCCCACTGCATATACAAGTTATAGTCTATTAAATGTGTAGTAGCATTATGTCTTTAAAAAAGCAATGTACGTAATTTAAAAACAGTTTATTACTAAAAAATGCTAACCATCATCTGAACTCTCAGTGAGTCGTAAACTTTTTGCTGGTGAAGGGTCTTGCCTTGGTGTCGATGGCTACTGACTTATAAGGGTGGTGTTTGCTAAAGGTTAGGGTAGTTGTGGCAGTTTCTTAAAATAAGACAATAAGACAAAATAAGACAAACAATAAAGTTTGCCACACTGACTCTCCCTTTCAGGAGCTATTTCTCTGTACCATGTGATGCTGTTTGGACAGCATTTTACCTACAGTAGAACTTCCTTCAAAATGGGAGTCAGTCCTCTCAAACCCTGCTGTTGCTTTATCAACTAAGCTTATACGATATTCTAAATGCTCTGTTGTCATTTCAGCAATCACAGCATCTTCACCAGGAGTGTTAAGAATCCACTTTCTTTGCTCATCCATAAAAAGCAGCTCCTCATTCATTCGGGTTTTATCATGAGATTATACCAATTCAGTCACATCTTCAAGCTCCTCTAATTCTAGTTCTCTTACTATTTCTATTATATCTGCAGGTACTTCTTCCACTTAAGTCCTGAACTCCTTAAGGGCATCCATGAGGGTTGAAATCCAGTTCTTCAAAATTCCTGGAAGTGTTGATGTTCTGGCCTCTTACTATGAATCACGAATGTACTTAAAGGTATAGAGAATGGTGAAGGCTTTCCAAAGGTTTTCAATTTCCTTTGCCCAGATCCATCCGAGTAATCGCTGTCTATGGCACCTATAACTTTGTGAAATAGATTTCTTAAATAATAAGACTTGAAAATTGAAATTACTCCTTGGTTCATGGATTGAAGAACAGATGTTGTATTAGCAGGCATGAAAACATTAATCTTGCCCATCTCTTTCAGAGCTCTTGGGTGACCAAATACATTGTCAATGAGTGCAATATTTTGAAAGGAATCTTTTTTTCTGAGCAGGAGGTCTCAACAGTGGGCTTAAAATTTTCAGTAAATCATGTTATACCAGATGTGCTGTCATCCAGGCTTTGTTGTTCCATTTATAAAGCGCAGGTAGAGGAGATTTAGCATAATTCTTAAGGGTCTTGGGATTTTTGGAATGGTCAAGGAACATTGGCTTCCACTTAAAGTCGCCAGCTACATTAGGCCCAAAGTCAGCATGGCGCTCTCTCTTCAGTGAGTGGGCCAAGCAGCAGATGCACAGATGCAGTTTTTTGTGAAGAACCTTAACCTCACTCTGACCCTGTAGATTGTGCCCAATGACACCATTTAGAATGTCAAAGCCACGGGATGCCTTGATGACTCAGTTGGTTAAGTGTCTGATTCTTGATTTCAACACAAATCATGATCTCAGGGTCGTGAGATTGAGCCCCGTATCAGGGGCTCTGCGCTGAGTGTGAAGCCTGCTTAAGATTCTCTCTCTCCGCGATGCCTGGGTGGCTCAGTCGGTTAAGTGTCTGCCTTTAGCTCAGGCCATGATCCTGGAGTCCCAGGATCAGGCTCCCTGCTCAGCGGGGATTCTGCTTCTCCCTTTATCTCTGCTCCTTCCCTCGTTCCTGCTCTCTCACTAATAAAATCTTTAAAAAAAAAAAAAAGAAAGAAAGAAAGAAAAGAAAAGATTCTCGCTCTCCCTCCACTCCTTCCCTGCTCTAAAAAAAAAAAAAAAAAAAGTCAAAGCCAAAATTGAAGACAAGGAGGGCATTCCGCGACCAGCAGTATCTGATTTTTGCCCGCAAACAGCAGACCATGGCCACACGTTCTGAGACTACAACATCCAGAAAGAGCTCACCCTGTGCTGGGTGCTTTATCTGCGGGGCTGCATCATCACATCATCAAGGCTTGCCCTCCTCTAGCTCACCCAGAAATACAACTGTGACGAGATTGCCTGCTCCAAGTGTTGTGCTTGCCTGAAGACCACGCGGTCAATTGCTCAGGAAGCACAGCCACACCAACAACCTGTGCCCCAAGAGGATGGTCAGTGAAGGCCCTGCTGTCAGCTTTTCCTTCACCCACAGGTCAGCCTCCTGCCTGAGCCACATGGCCCTGAAGCTTTGATAAAGTTTCCCTGACACTGAGTGGGAGAAAAACAAACCAAAAACCTGTTTTGAAGCCAGGCATTGACTTCTCCTCTCTAGTTATGAAAATCCTAAATGGCCTCTTCCAACAGCATCTGTTGTTTAACGTAGCCACCTTCATTGATGATCTTCTAGATCTTCTGGAGAACTTGCTTCACCTTGCACTCACATGTTACAGAGACAGCTTCTGTCCTTAAACCTCAGGAACTACCCCGCTGGCTTCCAACTCTTCTTCTACAGCTTCCTCACCTCTCTCAGCCTTCATGGAGTTAGGGTCTTGCTCTAGATTAGGCTTTGGTCTAAGGGAATGTTGAGGATGGATCGATCTTCTATCTAGACCACTAAAATTTTCTCCGTATCCGCAATAAGGCTGTTTCACTTTCTTATCATTCATGTGTTCACTGGAGTAGCATTTTTAATTTCCTTTAACAGCTTTTCTTTTGCCTTCACAACTTGGCTCAATGTTTGGTGCAAGAGGCCTATCTTGGCTTTTGACATGCCTTCTTCACTAAGCTTAATCATTTCTAGCTTTTGATTTATAGTAATAGACATAAAACACTTCCTTTCACGTGAGCACTTAGAGACCATCAGAGGGGTTATCTACTGGCTTAATCTCAATATTGCTGGGTCTTAGTAAATAGGAGGTCTGAGAAGAGGGAGAGGTATGAGGAAGAGCCAGTCAAAGCACCCAGAACACACAAAATATTTAAGTTTTCCATCTTAAATGGGTATGGTTTGGCATCTGAAAACAATTACAATAATATATCCAGGATTACTGATCACAGATCACCAGAACAAAAATAATGAAAAAACTTGAAATGCTGTGAGAAGTACCAAAATATGACAAAGAGACACAAAATGAGCTAATGCTGTTGACAAATGGCACCAGCAGACCTGCTAGATGCAGGATTGCTACAAACCTTCAAGTTGTAAAAAATGCAATTATCTACAAAGCACAATAAAACAACATATGTTTATAATTGTTTTACATAATTCATTTTCTCTGGCTTACCATTTTGGACTTCTCAAAACATAACATTTTTAGACACATCTCTTCTACCTACAATTTATAAAGCTTTTGCAAGTATAGTACATATTAATAATTATTTCTGTACATGTATTTTAAAACACTTTTATCTTAACAATATTTGACTGCAAAGCAAACCTTCACACCTTTGGAAAATAAAATCCCATCTGTGTAACATTCCGAAGTTAAAAAGTGTTTGTGACAGTATTACTTCCATACGTCACATTATTCTACTACATTGTTAGTCCCTGAAAGTAGAGATTTTATTTTGTTCATGACTATAATCCCTTCTAGACCTAGTACTGTACCTGCACGGAGTAAACACTGGTTTTACTTAGTGTTACGCTGCGTGCAGCGGTAAGCATGATGGGAAATAGCAAAGACGTGTAAGAAGGAAGCTCACAGTGTTATCCAGGAAATGAGCCATGCAAATACACTGCTACACAGTGCAAACTAGAGAGGCAGAATAATGCAAAAATTAAAACATGGACTCTGGAGTCAGACCTTGGTTTCAATCCAGCTCTACCCCTTTAGCTATGTGGCTTCAGACAAGCTGATCTACTTCCCTAAACCTCATTTTCCTTATTTATAAGATGAGGATAATAAATATTCCTCTACATACTGGCTGCTAGAATTAAAGGAGGTAATATATGTAAAATCATTAGTATAAGGCTTGCTATATAGTAAGCATGCTCCCAAAAAAGTGAGAACTATTATTATGAAAGTCTGTTTAATGTCCTAGGAGTAGGAGTTAACAGAGAAAACTCATCCGTTCTGGTTTGAGTGATCAAGCTTCCTGATGAATTTGAGTCTTAAAGAATGAATAGAATTTCAAATAGCTGAAGATGAAATAAAGACCATTCTCAGGAGAGGAAACAGCATAAGCAAAATGGGAAAACCACAGGTGTTTGAGGAAATGCTGAGTATTTGGGCCAGGTAATCACTTTTTTTTTCTTTTTTTATACACATATATTTTTATCCCCAGGGGTACAGGTCTGTGAATCGCCAGGTTTACACACTTCACAGCACTCACCATAGCACATACCCTCCCCAATGTCCATAACCCCACCCCCCCTCTCCCAACCCCCCTCCCCCCATCAACCCTCAGTTTGTTTTGTGAGATTAAGAGTCACTTATGGTTTGTCTCCCTCCCAATCCCATCTTGTTTCATTTACTCTTCTCCTACCCCCTTAACCCCCCATGTTGCATCTCCTCTCCCTCATATCAGGGAGATCATATG